TCATTCTTGGTGAATGCTTCACAGGCATGACCATTGAATTACATTTTGCTTATATTTAATGAAGCTGAAGCTTCCATCATTCTATGATTCTATGGAAGCTAGCCTCAAAGGACTTGGGTGGAAGCGGCAACATGTATAAAAAGGGCAGGAAATGCTGCCTGAATAATCCTGGTTCCCTATAGACACCATCCATACAACCTCTGTTCCTGTGCTAGATTTGATTGTGCTTTTATTTTGAGAATAAAATGTTTATTTTTGTAAGCCACTTTGAAAGTGGCTTACAACATATAAGCATTCTAAATCAAATAAGTAAAGTTAACAAGAGTATATTTACATCCCATCTTGTTCTCATGTTGCAATTCTATGTAGCTCTCACATGGTGTGTTCGTTTTCAAACAACATGTATGTGGCAGTTTCTGGGACTTCAGCTGATATCCTCTGTTAATTCAAATGATCATGTAGCAGGGGACCTCTTTCAGTTCTGTTCAGTGACAAAAAAGAAAAAGGAAGGAACACAGAACAGTTCTTGCTGAGTTTAGAAATAGTCAAAGATTAATTCCTATTTCATACATATGAAGAAACATACCACCCCCAAAAAAACTAAATTTATTTGTATGGATTCCCTGTAACTCTCACCAAAGGGTTCAAATATACAGCATACCAGGAATAAATCATCTGTTTCATTTTGCTCAATATTTCAGAAGCTATATGTTTGCTTTTTCTAGATTCTCCCCTTTGCATCTTAATACTGTCTCAGTATATCTGGATTCTAGACACAGAGAATGAGGACCCTCCTTTGACAGCTGCACTGAATGATTCAGTTTGCAATCACTGGACCACTTATTTTGGAGTGCCCCCATCGAAATGAATTGGACTATTCCATTACTATTTTGAAATAAGTGATTTGAACATTTCAACTTTGGTCATGTAGATAACATTAACAATTGGTGTCATGGTTGATATCAACAAGTCATTGTACATGAAGCACATCGATTGTAGTAATGAAAGTCACTTGATTTTTAAACAAGCTTTGGCTACATAAATCAGTATTTTCTCAGTAGAAATAAGCATTCCCTGGCTCACAACAGAGACACACAAAGCATATTTTCACCTTCTGGCATACGTATATTTGGAAGGTGGGTGCACATTTTTTGCAGCACATTGCTTAGCATGACATGCAATTATTATCCAGTTATCTTAACTATGTATCATGTTCTCCATTTAAAAGCAAAAAGCTTTAAGCAGTATAATGGATCCTTGTCACATATCTTTATCAGTGATAGTCTTAACTTCACCCCATGCTGCTCTACTTGTTTTCTGAGCATCATTAAGGCCTTGATACAGAATGTGCGGGTTTTCTCTTTCATTCACTCAGGCATGAGCTGCATCTTCTGGTTTGCACTTCAGCGCTGGCTCTCATCATGATTACTGCACCTGGGATTCTGGGGTGAATGGTGACGGGATTGGCACTGGGGGAAGATAGAGTAGCCAGTCCTATGACTCTTTAGACCTCCCCCCCCCCCGTAGTATCCCTCAGGATAGGCTGGCCTTGATGAAGTTGGTGATGCGCTCCTTGGTCAGTTCTGGATCCAAGCACAGACTCTTCATGATGACACAAGGGCTTGGAAATCCTAAATGACTATGAGCTTAGATGTCTTTGAAGAAGGAGGAGGCATTTTCAAGGAGGAAAGGTCTACCAATGCCAATTAGCACTGGCATGTCAATAGAACCTCCATGTTACTTCATAGCATAGGAGAAGCAGGGGACAAACAACAGCAAGGGCTGCGCCTCCAGGCTCTGCCTGTAACCTCCTGCAGCCTTCCTGGAGGCATCGTGCTAATCACTATTGAAAACGGGACATTGGACTACATGGACTTCTGATCTGGTCCATCAGAGATCATATGTACCAATGGGGATGCTTAAACTATATACAGTTCTTTGCAGTGGTTTGCTGTTGGCTGGAGCTGCAATAAATCTCAGGAAAGCAGCTGCATAAACCAAATTCTGGTTCCGAATTCCATATTTACTTGCTGGCTTCCTTTTTCTTTTCTCTAGTTAACGGTGCCTAATGCAAGCTACAACTCCCCCGCCCCCTTCCTTAGTGCCAACGTTTGTCACTATATTTGCAATATTCTGTAAAGCTGAAATAGGAGAAAAATATGCTCAATATATTTAATTACCACAGAAGTGAGCCGTTTTAATAGGGATGTAACGGTTGTTAATGAAGACCCTAACAGCAAAGACTTTTATATTCTTGTCTAAATCAGGACACATTTTGCATTAGTAATGGTGAAGAATTAACAAGGGGAAAATGTGAGTCTATTTGCACAATCTCTGCAAGCCCTGTTATAAAATGGCATCAAGGATTTCTTTCTTTCTTTTTTAACTGAGTTCAGGAAGGTAATTTAAAAATGCCTAAACTTCAGGCAGGCACAAGTAATTACAGAAACTCATGAGGGTGTTTCAGTGTTCCTAATTACTGTCATTACAGCTGTTTTATCTTGATTTCATACCCAACTAATGACCTTCATATATTCTAAACATCCACATACACTTTTTTCTCCTGTTCTTTATACATTTTATACAATACATACAAGCAGCCTCAACATCAGAGACTCTACAGATGTCTGCCTATCTAAAGTTCACATTCCTATTCTAAAATAAAAACCAACCATGAAAGGTGTTGTATTATTTCCTACTTCAAACCATACTTAGATCACATCGTTTTGCCTCCAAGCTAAAATGATATTTATTTTTTTAAAAAAGCTTTCACTTTTTAAAGTGGCCCACTTCAGTTAACAATCTCACTTCTCTCTCTGTTCGGTCAGGCCACAAAATTACGCTTCCCATCCTGTCCACTCAGTGCCTGCTCCACCACTCAGTCCCCCTGCACATGAACCAAGAGGACATAAGTCCAAATCACATGGTTGATTCCCATATTTGGGGAAGGGGGTTGAAAACGTCATTTGGGCTTGCTGACCCAGAGTTGGGGAGAGAGCTCCAGCTAAGCTGAAGACAAGGGAATTCAGCCAGCATGACCTGGCTGTGCTAGGATCTGCTAGATCGGTGGGAGATCAGGGCCTTTGTATGATGGTCTAGCTGCTGCTTGAGCCAACATCGTTAAGAGAGAATTGGGAGGTGACAGTCTGCACCTTTGATCATATGTCTCTGTTATATGAGAGAGAAATAAGTGTTTCTCCCTTCCACACTAATGTGTTATATCCAAACTAAGAAATGCTCCCTGGCTGCAGTCACACCCATTGCGTGCCTGTGCGTTCTTCCAGCCAGTAAAGGATCATAGCACTCTGCTTCTAGATTCTCCATGCAAGTTTCCCATCCACAGTGCCATGAACAGCAGCAGGAAGGACAGGGGTCTCTAAATGCTGGTTGTGCACAATATGAGTGTACGGTGTGTGTCTTTGCTTTGGGCGTGTACAAACAAGAGGATTCAGTTCAGACCCCGATCAGGTGCTTCAGAAAACAGACCAATTTGGTTTATTTTTCCTTGGAGTCTGCCCACTTCATCTCAGGATTTGTGGAGAGGGGGATAAAAAGGGATTTGCTTCTCCTTGGTGTGAGTTTGTAGGCAATTTGTTTGCATCATTCGTTCTGTATGCATTTTCCTGTGAACTGACCTTATTCATTGATCTGGATTTATATGCTGATTATATAAATTTGATTCTGCAGGTTTTTTGAAACTTGTGATGTGGTTTCAGTTGAAAAAATGCACACAAAATGCATATTTCATGAAAAAGAATGTTAGGGCATGTTAGGGGGAAATGCACTGAAAGCATACAAATATATGTATTTTAGGGGAGCAATGTGTATAAATGAATACAAAATTTACTTACTTGCTTACTTACTTACTTACTTACTTACTTACGTTCAATTTGATTTTTTTAAAAAACAGGATGGAATGAACCTGCAGAAAACTGAAATGGATGGAACAAAAATAACTTTCCCTTGTTATGATGAATGATAAAAAGTTTTAGGGTGTTTTTTGTTTTCCTCTTCAGATGATTGAACCAATATCACAGAAAGAGACTTTATGTGCTTTGTGACAAATACCACTGCACACTTGGGGAGGCCGTCTTTAGCTGCCTCCAAGTGAGCACTGCATCAAACAAGTTTAATATAATCCCCCAAGTAAACAGAATGGAATCTGTTGCATCAGGCAGGCTTCTTGCCTCCTGCTTGACTATGAGAAACACAATTCTATTTACCAGGAGATTCAAAGTTCTATAAATTCTTACTTCATGGCTTACTGAAAAGCAAGATGCCAAAACAGATTCCATAAGACAACAGACAAAGAATGCATTGCTAGTCCTTTACATGCTTTTTCACACCAGAATTCACAGATATAATTATGTTCTGATCTATGAATCAAGTGTCCTGTTTTTAAGGATGCATTGAGATAGCACTTTATTCCATTCTCCTGATGTTTCCTTACTCAATATTCTCACAGTATTGGGTGAAAGCCACTTCTGGAACTCTAGTGGAAGTGTGGTGTAGTGGTTAAGAGCGGTAGTCTCCTAATCTGGTGAACTGGGTTCGATTCCCCGCTCCTCCACATGCAGCTGCTGGGTGACCTTGGGCCAGTCACACTTCTTTGAAGTCTCTCAGCCCCACTCACCTCACAGAGTGTTTGTTGTGGGGGAGGAAGGGAAAGGAGAATGTTAGCCGCTTTGAGACTCCTGAAGGGGAGTGAAAGGCAGGATATCAAATCCAAACTCTTCTTCTTCTTCTTCTTCTTCTTATGTATGTAAATTTTATATGTATGTAAATTTTATGTGACACATAAAATTGTGGGTGTTTTGTGCTGCCATGTTCCCATGGGTTTCATGGCTCACACCACTTGTATTCCAGCTTTCTTTCCTGCTCTTCTCATGGGTGATGGAAACGGAAGCAGGACGAAGCAGGAAGCCTTCATCAGGCAGCAGAGGGCCATGGAGGAGATGGAAGCTCTGTCATGGATGCTTCAGCTGAGGACCCTTCCAACTCTGCCCTTCCGTGGTTCTATGAAAGGCACAATTAGAGAGGTGTTTGGACATGAGAGTGGAGAAGTAAAGTGGGGGGGGGGTGAGAGCAAGGAACGGGACTTTCTGGTAAAGTGGAATGTGACTGAGGAATTCAATGGAGCTTAGGAATCACTTTCTGTGATGTCTGGTTTGCTGCAACTGACTAGGACCCCTCTCCTTTCTCCTTATTTGAAAAGAGTGAAATATGCTGAGAAATGATTTGAGAAAAGGACTGCAGGGCTTATTAAGCTGGTCACCGATGTCTCATTTCAAAGCTAATTCTTATGTCCAAACTAAAGTCTAGCTTCAGATAAATTCTCAATTCTAAAGCTGTGTGTCTGGATGCTGTTTTTCCATTGACTGTACTGCAAAAGAGAAGAGGAGGGGGGAGGATGTTGGTTTTTATTTTAACCCCATTCCACTCACGTTTCTTACAAGCAAAATTCCAACTGAGAGGAAAATGAAAACAGCTACTGCTCATCCCTAAAGAACCTGCCTCTGCGCTATCAAGCTATGCAACACATTAGACAAATGCATCACACAAAGCCTGATATTAATGCTTTTAAAGCATCTTGGGACTATTTTTTCATTTTCATAATTTTCACACATTTCAAAGAGTTGGTTCTAGGGAAAAATGGGGGAAAGCAAAGAACAAAGAGTCACAGTCACTTATGGATAGCAATCAGTCGTCAGATGTGTAAATTATTAACTGTATTTAAGGACTTGATTATAATCAGACACTAATCAAATGCTCATATCTAAAGGCAAGCTTGTGGACATGAGAAATTAGATTAAATTTATATTTTTATTCTTTCCAGGGGCTCCTTTAGAAAAGTCAAGTAAAATAAATGCCACAAGCCCCCCCAAAATCCAAATACCTTGTGTGTGTGTGTGTTATTTGGAATATGCACACTTTTCATTTTTATTGTATTTATTTTATTTTAAAAATTGCCTAAACCTTTTTGTGTTTACTGCAGCTTTTTAAAAATAGCATTCCCGCCCCCCCCCAGTGCATCACCCTATTATCAGGGAGAGAATTGGGGAGGGCATTTTGCCAATTTTGCAGGTTGGGGACGAAAACAACTGAAATAGTTGGGGGGGGGGGAATAAAAACAGAATAAAAATAATGAACGAAGTTAGATCAAGGTTTCATATTTGGTTTATCTTATTTATGTAGCAGGGTGACTGGTCGCGGCAGCATCCTTTGGGGTAACAGTTGTGGAAGTGAAGAAGTGTGTGCCTGCAGGTGTGTCTTGACTTCAGGCTATTTGAAATGGTTCTGATAGACCCAGCTTTCCCATAAAGATCTACACTAAAGCGCTAAGTCCCTAAATATGGTTTCATGCCCAAGGCATTCAGCATAGGGTTAAAATGAGAAGATTAGTCCCTTTTCTGAATGCCAGCTTCCCCCTTCTTCTTAAATACTTTTGAATGACTACAGCTAGTCACTTCCTACAGTCAGTGGTGCCCTAAATAGTTAAGGGAAGAGGGCAATCAAATAAAATGCATGGGGCCAGTTTCCTAAATAGTACTGTATATTCAGTGCTTTTTTCCTGTGGGTACAAACATGAGCCTGACCAAACTGTGGGAGGCAGTGGAAGACAGGAGTGCCTGGCGTGCTCTGGTCCATGCAGTCACAAAGAGTCGGACACGACTAAACAACAACACTCAGAGCTACACAGTACCGGCACATTTTTTTAAAGAAAAAAAGAACTGTGTATATCTAAACACCCTTTTAAATTGAGCTCCTCCCCAATATATAGTTTACAGTCAAATTACTGTTATATATTGTCTACAGGCAAATAGGGCCTTTCAGCACACTTTACATCTGCAAAAGCAATCATTATCCAAAGGAAACTCATTACTGCCAAACAGTCCCATTGTAAAATCCCTGAGGAGGCAAAATATCATACTCACAAACAATGCCTACTAATAGCTGCCTATTTGTCTGCTCTACTGAATACACAGCACACACCGCCCCATTCACTTTCTACCTGAAGTTCGTAGTTAGATTAATTAGGAGTCACCATGTTTCAAATTAAAACTCTGACATATGCTGCTGTTTTGAACTCTCAAATTCCCACAGACCAACTGGGCTGGTTTCTACAGTTTCATGCAATGCTCAAGCGTCATTTTTATCATTTAGCTATGGTTAAGTTAGTTGCTTCTTTGAAGTATGGTTTTGGGAGGCATTATGTAAAATATAATGAATTACAAATCAAAAGAAGCTGGACAAACCCATCCAGTACTCTCTTAGATTAAAAATAAATGTAGAACAAATATACAAATTTTGTTTCCAGGATTACCAATGGATGCATTTAGGTTATTAAGGTAATAGTAATTTAAATGAATTACTTTGTACTTACTTAGTTCACTTGCAATTCATACGTTAATGTCTGCAAAGTTTATAAATGTTGTCCATGTTACCGTAAAAAATTCTGATATTTTTCTATCCATTTGCTATTTTATTTGGAGTGTCAAGCTTCCCATTACTGTTAGCTTCTTTCCAAAGAGGGATCCTGCTGCATCCATGGCTGCAGCCTTGGATTCTGGCCGAAATCAAGCATGTTTCTCTCTCTCAGGCTTCCAGCTGCTTCTTCCTCCCGCTTCTAGCTGATTCACATACAACTCAGCTCTAGACTTTTGTCTTTTCTCACTACCTACCAGCAAGCTGAGTGAGTGGGAGCCCCCATGTGTGAAAATCTAGACAGAAAAGTTGTTCAGCTTTTTTTGGCAAAGTTGCAAAATCACAAAAAAATGCCGTTTTAATGGGAAAACGGGGAAAAAAGACACTGCCGACATGGGCTGCCATACGTCTGGATTTTCCTAGACATTTTCCCAATTTCCACAAACTGCCAACTGCAAATGCAGTTTTCCATTGCCTTAACAACCCTTGTTTATAGGGCCTTTATCACACCAGGAAAGTCACCAGGATATTCCAGGAATTTGAATCCTTGCTTAGATTTTAAGGCTTGCTGGATCCAGGAATTAGAAGGATCTCAGCATGCAGCCTCCCGCCCCCAATGGTTTCCTTCAGTTTTCAGACCCTCCAAGTGTCCCTATTTTCCAGGGACGTCCCTGATTTAGAGAAGCCGTCCCAGTTTCTGGTCCCCAAAAGTCTCACTTTTCCTTAGAATGTCCCTTCAGTGGTACCTCTGGTTGCAGACGGATCTGTTCCGGAGCTCCGGCTGGATCCCGAGGTTTCCGCAACCAGAGGGACCGCTTCTGCACATGCATGCATGGCGGTAGAGCGCTACTGTGCATGCGTGTGTGGTGAAACCCCCAAAAATACTTCTGGGTTTGCTGTGTTCGCGTCCTGAAGGATAAGCAACCAGAGGTGTGCGTATCCAGAGGTACCACTGTATTTTCATTGGAGAAATGTTGGAAGGTGTGGAATAAGAAGGATTCCTCACCACTCCCACTGGCTTGGAATCTCCAGATAATACCTGGCTCTTAAGAAAACCTTTCCTTACCCATAAAACTCACTGCATAACCTCGGGCAACCCTTTGACAATAATACATGTGGAAACAAAACAGGAAGGAACTCTCAGGAAACAAATGAACTTTTCCGAAGATCTCTTACAAAAAGTTTGTATATACCAAGGTGATTTAAAGTTCAGTGGTTCCTTGCATAGGTAAAGAAAACTGATTCAGTTGCACTCATGACAGAAAAGATGGTCCCTCCTGGTCTCCAATTAGGAGGACAAAACTGATCTGCCAGAATTACTGCCAAAATTCAGCACAAAGGTAATCAGATTTATGCTCAGGAGCATATGTTTACTCTGAAACCTTGCCAAGGAGGTTTGGCAAGGGTGTGGAGAGCACCTCAACTTGCTCACAGAACAGTTATGTCAGATGTGGCAAAGACAAACACTGGGCATAGGAGAGCTTAGTCGGTAGGGCATAATCTCAGGGTCATGGGTTCAAGCCCCACATTGGGCAAAATATTCCTGCATTGCAGGGAGTTGGACTAGATGTGGTCCCTTCCACCTCTACAGATTCTATGATAACAGTCTCTGTATTAGCAACCATGAATCTAGTGTTTCAGAGGGACAAAAATTGCTCCTCGTTTTGTCTGGAACCAGCAGAGTCCATTCTGGGACCAAAAAGCAAAAATATCTGCATTTCTTGCAGTCTTGTAGAAGAACCTGAAAACACCAAAGGAGGAAGCAAAACCAGCTTCCAGAGAATATAAAGCAACCAGGAAAGAACCACTGACAGGGTGAAAAACTCAACCAAACACCAAGAACTGTGACTGAGGAACTTGCTAGACTGGTTGCAGGATCTGAGCTTGGCCCCCACAGTCCCAACTCACTCATACAAAGAGCACCATTACATTTGCTCAGGCCTTTCTTAAGGGGGCACGGGAGGCAATTGGCTCAGGCCTTGTGCATGGGGCCTTAACAGGGACAATGCTGCATAGTTGCCAACTCTCCCCTCCTAAAAAGAATCTCATGGGGTCCCCATCTCAGGGGGAGGGAGGGGAAAAGCCAAATGCAAGATCAATCATATTTGAAAGATTATTTCTGGATTCTTGATGTAATTTTGCTTTTAAAAAGAAACAAAATGCACATAGGAAAAATATCAGGATCAAATGGACTCTGGAGCTTATCCAAAGGACAAAGCAGGTGAATATATTTAATGTTTCTGATTAAACATCTGCCGATGTCAGCATACTGGCCAGTTCATCAACAGAAAGTGGAAGTGGATGAGCATTGCATGGACAGTCGTGGATTTACTTATCTGGGACTTGGCTTGCTTTGTGGCTCAGTTGCCCACTATATGTAGATGTTTAGCCTAGTCCAAGTGGACAATGGTTTCCCTGCGGCTGGACTCACCTGTGTGCATCACGTACTTGCTTGCGCTTTGTGTTTCCAACTGTGTGGAGCTTGTTTGAATTGTGTGGCCCTCCTTTGACTTTGGCTCTGAGGAGCAAGAGGCTGAGTTGAATGCTGTTTCTCCAAGTCTGCACTCCCAGTGAAGGCACCAGGACTGTTTTGTCTGCACTTACAGAAAACTTTCTTCATAAGCACCTCTTTTAAAATTGATAATGCCCAATTTAGTGACCATCTTCCCCTGACAACCAAGTTATGTGTTGACTGGCACCTGCTCGAGCGCTCCCACCCAATCCCGGTGATTGTGGAGCCGTCCACTAAAATAAAGGGGATTAGATGGTCCCCTGCCCTCGCCCATAGATATATGGATTTTATCCGAGAAAAGTTTCTTGGTGATCAGCCGGACGTAGGAATAGTCCCGCGTGATCCTATTACCTGTATGAATTTTTCTCTTGCCTGATAGAAGTTTTAACTCGCTTTTTACTTCTCAAGCTATGGAGTTAAAAACGATTATTTTAAATTTGGCGCCCCTTGGTTCAACTCTGCTTGTAAACTAGCCAGACTCCATCTACATACAATATATAATGACTATAAACTTTCCGGCGCTCTGGCCTTACCTCCATCTTATTCCCTGGCTAAAAAGCATACAAACAGGCCCAGAAATCGGCCAAACGGGAATGGCACTTAAATCGCTGGCAGACTATAATTTCTACCTCAAAATCTCATAACTCCCGGAAATTTTGGTCCTTAATAAAGGGAAGAAACACGAAATACCCCTTAACGGTGATCCCGGCCCCTACATGGGAGCAGTTCCTGAGAAAATATTTCTCAGTGGCAGAAGCTCCGGCCACTCACTGGAGACCTTCTAATCCCCTTCCCGTCTGGCACAATACCGACCCTGCTGAAATCCTAGAATTGATAGCTGAGCTGAAAACTGGTAAGGCCCCTGGGCCAGATTTGGTCCCTGTTGAGGCTATAAAGCTACATTCTGCATGGTGGGCAGGGATTTTAGCTAAAACGTTTGACGCAATAAATGCCACGGGCTTAATACCAGGTACGTGGAAGGAGGCCATTATAATTCCTATCTACAAAAAAGGCCCTCCCGGTGACCCAGGGAATTACCGGAATATCAGTCTGCTATCGTCCATTGGGAAAATATATGCCCGTTTTTTGCTGGCAAGGCTGATGAAGTGGTCAGCTGAGGCTGACCTGATTGGGCATGAGCAAGCTGGATTTAGATTAAACCGATCCACAACAGATCAGGCAATTATTCTTTATCACTTAGCCCGGAAATACTCGACACCTCGACGGGGCCAACTTTGCGCAGCCTTCATAGATTTGAAAGCTGCGTTTGATAGTATTCCGAGGCAATTACTATGGGATAAACTTGCCTGCTGGGGAATAGATAGAAGGCTCCTGTGGCTTATCTCCCAACTTCATGCCGGGTCCGTGGCCAGGGTAAGAATATCCCCTGCTGGAGACCTAACTAACCCAGTGCCAGTAAATAAGGGTGTACGCCAGGGTTGTATTTTAGCGCCTCTTCTTTTTAACTTATTTATCAGTGATATGAGGAACCCATTAATCGACTCACAAAAATCTATCCACACCCCCCGTATAGCAGATTATCGTTGTCCTTTACTTCTCTACGCAGATGATGCGGTACTACTCTCTTACTCCAGAGTGGGTTTAAGGAGGGCACTAAAGATTTTTGCATCATATTGCCATTCTAATCATCTGTCTATCAACCACACCAAGTCCAAAGTACTGATATTTTCAAGGAGTCGAAAATTATATTCATGGAAATTGGAGGGCACGAAAATTGAACAAGTACATAAATTTAAATATTTAGGAATTTATTTTCAATATAATCTAGGGTGGAAAGAGCACGTTGAATATCTTCAAAACAAGACAAAAGCCCTATCACACTCCCTCCTCCGTTTTTCTACTCTGAGGGGCCTTATTCATTCCTGCGGCCTTGAAAGTGTATAGCATCAAAGTGATGGCCACAATGGCCTATGCTGCACCTTTATGGGCTGCCTTTGCAAACCTCTCACCTTTAGAGTCGCTTCAAAGCCAATTCTTACGCCGACTTTTAAAACTACCAACATGCGTAAGTAATGCGGCTATTCGCTTAGAAATGAAGATCCCCTCAGTGGAGTTAGTTTTATGGAGGAGAGTTTTGATTTATTGGATATCCCTATGGCATAAACTACCGAACCACTATCTCATTCAATGCATGTGGCGGGATGACTTCACAAATTTGTGGTCAGGAAAAATCCATGCCAAATTGCTGTCCTATGAGATCTCGCCCACGGAATTGCTCAAACTGGATCTAAACGCGGCAAAAAGGTGTATAAATCAAAGGCTGGATGATGTGGAGCTATACCAAAATTTCTTAGCTGGTGGTGGAGCCTGCTCCCCGTTAAATCTCGGCATAACCCCTATCTATCGTGCTCCGTCCTACTTAACATCGCTTATAGCCGCATCTCACCGATATGCCTTCATTAGAGCCAGGTTCAATGTTTTTCCAACAAACGTGCTGAGACATAGATTCACTAAGGGCCAAGTCCCTTCAATGTGTGCTTGTGAAATGAAAACATCTGAATCTTTACATCATGTTATGTTTATCTGCCCTATGTACAGTTTAGCTCGCGCTAGTATACTAAACTCCATAATCCAGCCTATGGCTGACAAACCAGTAGACCTACAGCTTGCCTGGGTTCTTCAAGATGTAGATCCTTATATTACTCTACAGGTTGCTAAATTCCTAACAGCCGTTCTCTCGTACAAGAGACGGAATGGAATGTTAGCTGATTATTGATAGTTATAAGAATTTTTGATATTGACATCAGATATTGATTTTAGCGTAGTGCCTAAATTTTTAACTTTAATCTTAAATTTCTGTTTTGATTTGCCAATATTTGTCCTTGTGAGCTGTGAATTGTGTTATATTACTTGTGGCTTGTTCGAGACCGCTGTTTTATTTGATTTGTTTTGTGTGTTGTGCTTTATGATGGGCGTAAAGCCGAATAAACATTTTGGTTTGGTTTCTTCATAAGCTGGTTAAAGAAAAGGCACTGGACACTTTGTACCAGGACTGGGGAGAAATAGAGTCTCAATTCATAGAGTCGGGAGTAGAAACTTTAACAGAGCCAATCTAACTAGAAAAAAAACAGCGCAAGTTAAAATGGCACACGTCCCTGGCCAGGGAAGAAGCGACGAGTGATTATCTACTCTTGGCATGAGGATGGAAGACCTACAGCCAAGAGGCTGCTGTAGAGGCAGCACCTCCAGCCTCCAAGGAGCAGGGGGGAGTGGCCCCAGCAGCCCCAGGCAACCCTTGGCGGCGGGATCTGCTGCCATGGGGCTGCTGCTGCCTGAGAGGGTCAGCTCCCCTTGCCTCATGGGTGGGCCAGCCCTCAGGGGGGTGGGTGTTTCAGATAGGCCAGCATGGGAGTCTCCCAGAGGTAGCACACAAGGAGTTGGTAAAGGGGAAACATCTAACATGTACTTTATGTTTGACATAAAGTGAGAAAAAGAAAAAGAAAGAACCTTTAGAGGAATTGTAATACTGTGTATTATTGTGAAGCCTTTTGCCCTAACTTGCCATTATTATAATTTCTAAATCCACTTGTACTTCAGGTTTTTGTGGTAAAGCCCTTGTTTCACTTAGTTTTAAGTGGGAAAGCTTTAATTTCCCACTTTAAGGAAGGGGCCATAGCTCAGGAACAGATGCTTTAATTATGACAATTTTGGCTCCATTGTTTAACCAAATAAAAACACAGTAGAAAAAAATGAAGGGAAAAGTGTTTGCATCGCCCAGTTCTAGTTTCAATATTTGCTTTTTCTAAACACAGAAAAAGAAATATGTTAACATCTATCGATCTGCCATGCTTGTAGATTAATTAATGCTAAAAGATGGAACTGTGAACTTATCTGGCCGAAGCAGCGAATATCAAAGTTTCTCAGTGGCCTGATGGGGGAATGAAATTTTAATATCAGTGGGGAACTAGAGTGTAATGTTAAGTTAATAGCGTTCTAGTTTCAAAGAGAAAGACAAAACAGGATTAAATCCAATGAACTAATGTGAAGTTGAAGGATCTAATGTAGCCTTGTAAAGAGCCACTTGCCTGGCAAGGACTTCCTCCAGCTGACAATCCCCTGCCCTGTCGTTGAGGAAGGGGCCATAGCTCAGGAACAGAAAACATACATTATGTGCATACTGTCTGACTTCCAGCCCCTGCCAACACCAGGGGCTAATAATAATAATAATAATTTATTTCTATATTAGTGTTTTAAACTGATTGTGAACCACCTTAAAGCAGGATGGTTGAATGGCAACCTAGAAATCATAGAATCATAGAATCATAGAGTTGGAAGAGACCACAAGGGCCATCGAGTCCAACCCCCTGCCAAGCAGGAAACACCATCAAATGTCTATACTGACACAAGTGGAAGCTAAAGGGAGGCAAGACTTGGAAAACCGCCTTCATCTTGATAAGCAGAGGGTGTGCTGCCACTGGGCTGAAGAATTGTCTGAGATATTCTCTGAGAATTTGCTTCCTGGCTCCCCCAAACGATTAAATGATACTAGACTTCTCTGGAGACTCTTTGGTGAAATGCCTCCCAGCTTCTCTGCCCATTTCAAGCTAAACTGTGGATCTGTTAGGAACGTGGCCCCCCAGAGCACAGGGGAAGAGTCAGACTCAGAAATTGAGCTAAATGAATGAGGGACCGGCTCTGCAGATGAGAGCTGGCTGACAGAGTAGAGAAAGGGCAGTTTGACCCCCCTTCCCGGGGAAGATACTGTTCGCTCTCAAGAAGAGGAAGAGTTGGAAGGCAGCCAGAGCGCTGCTAGGCAATCAGCAGATAAGCAAAGGTCTGAGACTGTGTTAGCTGAAAGTGGGGAGGGTGAAGGCCAGCCTCTCAGTTCCTGTTCTAGGAGACTGGATAAGATCAGAGGGCAATGGAAGGGCAAGAGGGGAAAGGCGAGAGTTTGGCGTCCTTCCTGCTGTGGGAGGGGCAAAAAATCAGACCGGCCAACTATTGTTAATGCGAGCAGGTAAGAAGCCGTGCTCTGGAGGCGTTTTTGTTGTACATAAAACTGCCGGAGAGTCATTACTTCTTATCAGGGCTTGCTTGCCAGAGATCATTACAGTATCTAGCTTTCATTATTGTTTATTTTTAAAAAGAAGTATCATTGAAGGAAGCATTGGTTGTGCACCCCTCTAGTCCTCCTAGTCTTCCTCTTTTAGCCCATTGCTTCCTTCACCCATCTACCCACAGAATTTCATTCAGTATTAGCACCAAAATTTATCTGAAGTGTATTTTCTGAGTAATTCATTTAGAGAGTTTTCTTTTCTGAACTGTTGGAGAATTATGCCAGTGCCCTACTGGCAAAAATGTCTCACCTGTTCCAAATTTCATCATCCACAAATGGTTGTTTTCGTTCATTTATTTCATAGTCACACTATCATCATTTTCTAGTTTTCCTATCACCCCCCCCCCCTAAATTTCTCAAATATTTTGCCTGAGCAAGAGTCTCAACATTCCACCTCAAAAATTCTGCTTTATGCTGTGTTTGGTGGTGTTTTTGTGCACACAAACATGCAGAAACACATTTAACCGCTTATGATTCTTAAAACACTAAACACTGGGGTCACATTCATTAAAAAGCACTTGTGCTGTATTACTTCCAACCAATTTTTTTTCCACAATAAAAGTCAAGGCAAGCAAACATGTGTACATTAAATCCATCAACCCCTTGTTTGGAGCCTTCAAATAAGCCTCAGTGAACCTGTCAGGATCTATTATGCTCCAAAGTAGCCGTTAGGTTCTATTATGTCAATTATCATGTACATTCATGACAGACTGCTCTCTTTATTTTTTATTTTTTAATATTAGCATTAAAAATAAATCCAGGATGAGGTTGGATGGCTGAAAGAGTTGCTATTGCTTCATAAAGTATTTCACTCAGAAGTTATTGGGTCAAATCTAGTCAGGGTCAGTGGTGACTAAGAACCTCTGGTGATTTGTGTTGATGTTCTACATTTAGGACCTCCCTAGTCTTTCAGGTTTTCTCTATATTCTTTCTTGCTTTACGTTTGTGTGTTTCAGACTAATCTAATGATACTGAGGAAGTGTGTTGCGTGTGAAGACCCCCAAACCCCCTCCAAAATAAATCACGCAGGACACAGAATATTTGTTTAAGACTTTTGGTATTAATTTGGCCACAACTTTATTGATTACAGCAGGTGAATGGTTACTTAGGCATTGGTTCGGACTACCTGCACCGGCAGGAACAGGACTGACAACTGGAACCTCCAGAGGTCAGTAAGGGAAAGCATACTGGGGGAGCACAGAGGCGGATTTCCGACTCTTAGTTCACCCCAGATGCTCCCAGGAACTCTGGCATGGCCCTACCCCTGAGAGGGGATCGGACAGAGCAAATCGAGCCCCTGGATTCCTTTAACGGAATTCCCTAGCAGCAGCAACAAAAATGAGGGGCAGGCACAGCCAATCCATAATCCCCTCCACCAAAGAATGAAACAATGTCTAACCGCCAACCTTACAAAGTTGTGAAAATTTGCTACACGGTATGCAAAAACCAAATGGCATCAGCCAAGTGGCAAAATTCATACCAGGCCCCTGCTCCAAAAACAGACGACCCCTAGACAGGCATAGCAAGGTCAAAAACACAATCTTAAATTATAGGGAGGGAGGGAGATCCGCTGCACGATGCGCAAGAGAAAGTACTTCACCTTGTGCAGCCCCTTAAATAGCCCCTTAATTGCCAGTCAAACCCCAACCGACAGAAAATTTTCCCCAGCAACAAAGGGGCAGCCAATGAGGTGAGGAGGTCATCCAAACGGGCCCACCCCAGCACCAAGAAGGCAGTTTGGTGATCTCACCACAACACGTGGCTCTCCATGATTTGGAGGACACAATCTCCTGAAACAGAATGGTCTTCCAAATCTAAGGTAGGAAAGTGAAAGTGAATGGGGGCAATCCTGGAACTCTGCAATAAAAGAAACCTTTAATAACACTGTCAAAAAATAGTTTTGTAAATTAAATCAAGTATACATAATTATGAAAATGTGCGTATATTGCCATGCCCTGACAACGATAATGCATGCTTCAGTCTCATTTGCCTTAACTGAACATTTACTTTGAGGCTTATCTAACCCTTTTTGTACCAGATTCTTGTCCCCATGCTGTAAGGTAAAGGGACCCCTGACCGTTAGGTCCAGTTGCGGACAACTCTGGGGTTGCAGCGCTCATCTCTCTTTACAGGCCGAGGAAGCCGGCATTTGTCTGCAGACAGCTTCCGGGTCATGTGGCCAGCATGACTAAGCCACTTCTGGCAAACCAGAGCAGCGCACGGAAACGCCGCTTACCTTCCCGCCAGAGCGGTACCTATTTATCTACTTGCACTTCGTGCTAACAAACTGCTAGGTTGGCAGGAGCAGGGAACAACAGGAGCTCATCCTGTTGTGGGGATTTGAACTACCGACCTTCTGATTGGCAAGCCCTAGGCTCTGTGGTTTAACCCACAGTGCCACCTGCGTCCTGTACTTATTTGCAAATAAACCTACCCACAAAAAGCCTTGTGTGCATAGACCTGATCAACACAGTTTGACCTTTCCAATAGGGTGGTCTGCACATCTTGAGCCTAGCCACCAGGGCCCACCCCACCATTATTCAAAGTGAAGCAACTGGGCACTGGCCGGCGGTGGGGGGGGGGGTTTAGTTCACTTTGACTTGCATTTTAATGCCAGCCGACCTCTGTTAAAAACAATACGTGGGTTGAAACACAGCTCTCCTTCGAAACATACCTTACACAGATTTTTCAGATGCAATTCTCCACCAAAAAATGTGATATGTTATATGCATAAGAAGGCCTATATTTGGGGTCACTGACAAGGGCAAAATACCTTCATGTTCCAATTCTGTTGCTTATTGTGATTCAATAGAGAACTTAAATTAGTTTTCTTCTTAAAAGCAAATACAACATTTAAATATTGCATTAGTAAGAATAATGATAGTAATAATTTCATTTATGAACAACAGAAGCATAAAGAGAGCCCTGCTGAATCAAACCAGTGGTCCATTTAATCCAGGGGCCGACCAGATGCCCATGGGCAGACCTTGGGTTTTCTAATTTCAGTGGTGCCCTGTGCAATGCCCCAAATCAGCACCTCCTCCTCTCCTCTTCCATTCTGCATAAGAGGTGTGGGGCCCTTTGCGGAGCCCCCAAGGCTCTCCGCCCAGTGCAACCAAACTAGTCGCGCTCCCCTAAACCCGCCTCTGCCTGCAAGCAGGATCTGAGCGCATGAGCCCTCTCCCCTCCCCTGATTCCAGCAACTGGCATTCGGAAGCAATGCTGCCTCAACCGTGGAGGCAGAGCATAGCTCTCATGGCTAGCAACCCTTGAGAGTGCACTCTTCCTTGAACCCAGCTAATCCTCTTTTAAGGCCAACCAGGTTCATGGCCATCTCTGCCACCCAGGGGAGAAAATGCCATAGTTTAACTATGTGATCCATGAAGAAAGAAGAGAAGAAGAAGAGTTTGGATTTGATATCCCGCTTTGTTGTTGTTGTTGTTTAGTCATTTAGTCATGTCCGACTCTTCGTGACCCCATGGACCAGAGCACGCCAGGCACGCCTGTCTTCCAATGCCTCCCGCAGTTTGGTCAGATTCATGTTTGTAGCTTCGAGAACACTGTCCAACCATCTTGTCCTCTGTCGTCCCCTTCTCCTTGTGCCCTCCATCTTTCCCAACATCAGGGTCTTTTCCAGGGAGTCTACTCTTCTTATGAGGTGGCCAAAGTATTGGAGCCTCAGCTTCACGATCTGTCCTTCGCGTGAGCACTCAGGGCTGATTTCCTTAAGAATGGATACGTTTGATCCCGCTTTATCACTACCCAAAGGAGTCTCAAAGCGGCTAACCTTCTCCTTTCCCTTCCTCCCCCACAACAAACACTCTGTGAGGTGAGTGGGGCTGTGAGACTTCAGAGAAGTGTGACTGGCCCAAGGTCACCCAGCAGCTGCATGTGGAGGAGCAGAGACGCGAACCCGGTTCACCAGATTACAAGTCTACTGCTCTTAACCACAATACCACACTGGCTCTCAGTTTCTTTTGTCTGTTCTGAGTCCTCAAACATTCAACTTCATTGGATGACCCTGAGTTCTATTAAAGAGGGAGAAAATACATTATTTATCAATTTTCTCCATGTCATTCCAAATTTTATACACTTCTGTCATGTCACCTCTTTATTTCTATTGAATTGCTTCCCACGAGGCATCCTGAAGCAATTTCCAACAACATATCCAGTAATAAAATCCAATCCAATATAGTTACCAACTAGGATAAAGCTTATTAAATGATTAAATAAGTTACTAAGTTGCATAAAACAAACATTGGATTACAAATGCTTGTTAATACATGTTTATTTTTCCTAATGATTACTGAAGTTCTACTCAAAATGTTAGCTTCATTGCACAGTGCAATAGAGAAATTTTTACATAATGCTAAGAAATCTTTTCATAATGCAACATGGAAAATATTCCACAATACCTTTCACTGTATCTAGGTGTTAAAAGACGAGGAATCAATTCAAATAGAACACCTGCTTTGAATTGATAAAGCAGGATCCTCAGCCGGAGAGAAAGAGGGGGAGAGAGTTTAAACAGAACTCAAAGCAATGAGATTTTCTTCTTCATACTTGATGATGCATCAGAGCACAGCATCAGAAGAGAGCCATGAAATTATAACACAAATTCTGTAATGAGACTTCATGAATTTGTAAAAAAAAAAGCTTAAATTCTAATTATTATTTTGCACATGGAACCAGTACCCTTTTTGGCCATTCTCTTTCATATCCCTTATTACAGAAATACGAACAGAGTAATCCAGTGGTCTTTTTCCTTTCCCTGAAATAAAGTAGCATGCTGAACCACTGTGACCCTTTCAATATTCAGTATGTGCAATTTGAAAGGATTGAATCCAGTTATGGACTTAGCAAAGAGCATTTAATGAATCCCGGAAATAGAGCAATTTGCATGGAAATGATGTAAGTTTTTTTTAAAAAAATAATAATAATAATAAAGCACAAAGTGTTCAGCAGAAGTAAAATAGAAGAACATTTTCTGTTGGTTTGATTGCTTGCAACAGAAATTTGTTTCATTTATCAGATAGTATCCCACCTTAGGACCAAATAGGCGATGGGGTAGCTCATTACAATTTATGACAAAATATATAATGGGTAATTAGAATTAACACCAATGTAAACCACAAAGCACCCTAAAAATAATAAATAGTAGTTCCATCTCTACCTGCTTTCTGTGATACAGATAGTAGTGGATATTTGTTTTTTGATAACAATTTATTAATTTTCCAAAAATAACATGAAAGAATAAAACAATAACAACAATATATAAAACAAAGAAAATAAAGAAAAAGAAAATATCATAAGTAATTTTTTAAGAAACATGTTTGGTTTCATTGTTTGGCACTTGTTCATGCACGTCCATAAAACCTTATATTCTTAATGATCCAATTTTAAACCTTCTTCATCTTAATAAAAGTGACTTTTAAAAGTTATACTAATGTAAAAATCTGTACACAAAGCTTAACCGATATGCATTGAACATTTACCCCTTTTTAAAAATTCAGAGTCCTTTCTTTCTTAGGTTTCAGGTTATCTAATTTGTCCTGCATAGTTCAAAAGTTTATTTTGCCAATCTTCTTCTTTTTTGGCAGAGGCTTCTTCCTTCTAAAGGAGGTCTGTCTGATCTTTGTGGGGATGATTAGGGAGGCAGGAGAGGATATATTATTTAATGATATCCTTCCTAACTTGCGCTAGCAAGTTCCATATTCTAGCAGAGTTCCAAACATCCCCCTTTTTAAATTACGCAGCAACCAGCTTGTTGCTGACTCATCTGAGTTTTACTATTAAAGATTCCTTCCTGGTAAAATCCCTTTTAATCCCTCTTAAAAAGAATAAACACAAGAATCTGATTAACGTTAATATAAAAGTAGTTTACTCACAGATTCATTCAGGTTCACAGACATATCCCTGAAGGCAGGCTTAGGTTACATAACAACTAGAACTAAGTGGTACCTCTGGATGCAAACGGGATCCATTCCGGAGCCCTGTTCGCATCCAGAAGCGAACGCAACCCGTGTCCGTGCTTCTGTGGGTTGCGATTCACTGCTTCTGTGCATGTGCGTGATGTCATTTTGACCGTCTGTGCTTGCACGAGCAGCGAAACCCAGAAGTAACACGCTCCATTACTTCCGGGTCGCCGCAGCGCACAACCCGAAAATACTTATCCCGAAGCTACTTCAACCTGAGGTATGACTGTATTCCATAAAGAAGTCAGTCCCAAGTGACTGTGACTAAGGAGTCACTTCTCTAAACACACAGCAACATACAAAATGGAGAACACACACACTGATCAGAACATGGAGGCCATGTGCTCCTCCATGCTAGTACAACAGACCACACACCCTCTTCAAGTCACATGCAGTGGAAGTCTGTCCCAGCTCAGGAGGAAAGGGGAAGTCTTCTCCTGAGTGGTACAAAACACCCACTAACATGTCCACTGTGGGAATGTTGTACTTGACTCCTATAAGTTTCACATCACACAGTCTTGGCCTGGTATCGACTCTTAGGTACAGAAACAATGTCTTTCGTCCAACAAGTCCATCAAAACCTGCACATCTCAATATCATATATTCATTTTTTTAAAACAATAATCATTTCCCACATTACTTTCCAATCTTTCTCTGTCTTTTCCCAAGCCTTTTTAATGATTTTACATTGGCACCACATATATATATATAGTGCCAATGTAAAATCATTAAAAAGGCTTGGGAAAAGGCTTTTACTGCCCTCCCTTCCTGTTTCTTCTCTATCACAGTCAAAGCCTCCCAGATCATTTCACATGAGGTACTGTTTTTAATTTGAACCACTCTTACTTTCCCATGTATTTTTCTCAAACCTCATTCCCTCAACCATTCCTGCATTGGTAGTTCGTGCATTTGCCTTTTTAAATTGTCCCACAGCCTCTGAAATTAAATTGGTATTTTCCTGAATTTTGACAGCTGCCTTGTTAACATCTTCCTTAAACTGATCAAACAGTTCTCTTTTAAGATCTAAAAGCAAATCATATAAAACATATCTTTTATTCTCTTGCATTACGGCCTGGCTGGTTTGTTTTAACATTGTGATTTTTACTTCTGCCATTTCTAATTTTAACTGAGGGGGTCTATTGTCTCCCTGTTTCCTGGCTTCCTCTGTATATTTTAATTTCAAAACAAAGTCTTTTCCCACCACACAGGGCGTTATTTTTAACCTTATTGGTACTTTACCAAGGACACCATCAAGCTCAGTAGAGAAAGCCAGTACTTTCAGCCTGTTCCCTCCCCCTATTCTAAGTTACTCACAACTGCAAAATTTTAACAATTGTATATTTGAATCTTTACATCTATTAACATCAAAATAACTTTTAAAATATCCAATATAATAAATCTATATTGAACCTTTTATTTTTAGACTGATATTTGCAGTAGATAGTCCTCTTCTTTTAATCTTGATTTTTATCCAGCTAATACTGGGAAAACCATAGCTTTTACTATACGGACCTTTGTTGGCAAGGTGATGTCTCTACTTTTTAAGATGCTGTCTAGGTTGGTCATTGCTTTCCTCCCAAGAAGCAGGCGTCTCTTAATTTCGTGGCTGCTGTCAACCATCTGCAGTGATCATGGAGCCCAAGAAAGTAAAATCTCTCACTGCCTCCATTTCTTCTCCTTCTATTTGCCAGGAGGTGGGTCCGTATAGTAAAAGCTATGGTTTTCCCAGTAGTGATGTATGGAAGTGAGAGCTGGACCATAAAGAAGGCTGATCGCCGAAGAATTGATGCTTTTGAATTATGGTGCTGGAGGAGACTCTTGAGAGTCCCATGGACTGCAAGAAGATCAAACGCATCCATTCTTAAGGAAACCAGCCCTGAGTGCTCACTGGAAGGACAGATCGTGAAGCTGAGGCTCCAATACTTTGGCCACCTCATGAGAAGGGAAGACTCCCTGGAAAAGACCCTGATGTTGGGAAAGATGGAGGGCACAAGGAGAAGAGGACGACAGAGGACGAGATGGTTGGATAGTGTCTTTGAAGCTACAAACATGAGTCTGACCAAACTGCGGGAGGCAGTGGAAGACAGGAGGGCCTGGCGTGCTCTGGTCCATGGGGTCACGAAGAGTCGGACACAACTAAACGACTAAACAACAACAACAAATGCCTTTTAATAAGTACATAGTTGTAATTTCATAGTAGGTCATATTTGAAGGCGATTCCCTCAGTTAAAAAAAATCACACTGTACTCCCTGCCGCTCTGGACCTAAACCTAAAAATGCACTTTTTTCCAGGTTAGAGTTAACTAGAAGTGGAGGAGCCTTGCATACAGAAGAATGTCCTTTAGTTCATGGCATCTCCGGTGTATGGATCTCAGGAATGGAGAAGACCTTTGTTTAGGACCTGAAGAAGCCCTGTCATTCAGGCCAAATGAACCAATGGGTCCGACTCAATGGCAGGAAGGGGCCCCCTCCCTTTACCTGTCCTTTTTATAAAGGCTGCAATCCAAAGTCCTCCCATTATAGTCGCTTCCATTATAGGCAGCTGGAATTCCGCAACCCCTCCTTCCCAAACAAAGGGGAAGCTCTATTTGCATTAGGACTGAGTGGCTTTCCTCTGACAGAATCAATATATCTGAGAGGTGTGCAAAATTTAGCTTCAGCCCTGCTCCCCACATCTTCCATTTTAAATGATTAAATGTGAAGATAAAGGCAGAGATCCTTGAAGTTAAACTGGTTTTACATCCATACACTGCTAGAAAGAACTACATGTTCTGTGTGTCAATAGGCCCTTTTGAGATGATAGATACTAAAATGTACTTTGCAACGTTATTTGCCAGGAAGTTATTTTTATGAGCTTGGCGCATAAAATCTGCTAGTGCTAGATAAAATTGACAGAATAATTAGGTTTCTTTTTAAACCACACCAGTGAATGAAATGTAGTAATTCCAAGATAATATTTCCTGAGGAGATGTCAGAGGTGGGGGAAGCAGGGAGAAGGAGAGGGATGATTCACAGCTGCCAACATGAGGCACTATAAGGCATGGTGAGTGGGCTGCAAAAGCGGTGCAGGTTTGCATCAGGCAGCCCTCAGCACTGAATACATGGCCGGGGGGGAGGGGTGCATGGACAGTCATGCGCTAACTCCTCCTCCATTGCCTTCCAGCTCATGGTGCTGTCAATTGCATTGCAGAAAAAAATGATGCTATTATTATTAATAACAATAATATTAATATTAATTCATTTCACTTATTCATTTTTTAAAACCAAAATTCTCACAATAAAATATTATATATCTCTGTGTGTAGATAGATATAGATGGTAGACAGATAGATTATAGATGATAGATAGATGGATAGATAGATAGATAGAGACAGATATAGAGATATGACAGCTGAGACAATGTAAGTGACCATACAATGCTTTTCAGTAAGGGAAGAAACATCTCCCTTGGAGACAGAGAGCCCTGGAGGGTTGCACTGCTTTTTTTCTTTTCTTCCAAAGTTCCAAACTGCCTTTTCGCCTCTGCCAAATGCTGGACGGTATGAAATTTTCAAGAAGAAGGTTACTACAGAGTTATGAATTAGTTCCCAGCAATCCATAGGTTTTTCAGCAGTTGGGCAAGAAAGCAAATGTCTTAGGCAACTGGAGACTCTTGGAGAAATTTGCACTGCAATATACTCAACTGCAAGTCACTCTGTATTAGCCATTCTGAGATTTCTGAGGGAAAGTAGGATATACTTTAAGCATAAAATAGTAAAAAGCCAGTCAAGAAGATATACCTGTAACAAGGATGATAGCAAAGCTTGGAGCCCCTGGAGTATATGCCACCATCCATAGGAGTAGAGTAGGCTGGCAGGTCAGTTGAAAATGTATGGAAGTCAGGTCCAATAACAACAGAGGAGGTTGCCTTTGTCTGATACAAAGTCAGCTACAATGCATAGAAAGAAGTGGTTTGATATTTAAAGACCTTCCCCAGCCCACTAACACAGGTTGCCGGCTGTTCCCATGAGTCCATGTACCATGGTGTCCACTAAAAGCACCTGGCAATGAATTCAAGCCCTGGGTTTGCCAGCAAATCAGACAGATAATCTGAAGGCCAATCAAAACCTGGATGAAGTCCATCCCTAAATATTGGGAAGAGGGGTAGAAAGCCGTATTGTGAGGTAAAGGCCATCACCTGCAGATTCAAAAAGGTCAGAGCTATAACCGCATGGATAATAGTCTCCATTATTGTATTTGATGAAGGTAATAAAGCATTGATAGTTTTCCGGCCAACCCGCTTCCTTTAAAGCATAGGCTTTGATAGCAGAAGTTTGAGCTTTTCAGCAGAAGCTGTACATTAGATTTTTCAAAAACTGCACAGTATCTGTTGGCTACTAAAATGACTTCAGAACTTGCATGATTATATTCTGTACTCAAGCTCTTTTAAATCATTTTTCCTTTATTTGCCAAGGACAAGGGGGGGGGGAATAACCAGATACCTCACTCCAAAGCCATGGATGGGGTAGTTGCCTCACTTTACTTCCAAGTCATGCAGAAATCAGAGACGTTTGCAGATCTCTCATACCTTGCTCAGATCAGAACAGAGACCCTGTTCAAAAGTAACGGTAGTTGCTGGCCAGCAAACCTTGTCATTTTAAAAGCTTCCCTGTCTAACTACATTGCCATTTTAAATTCAATATACACATGAGCTGGCAGATTCCCCCTCAGCCACTTCTTCAGGGTAGAGCATGGCATCATGCTAGGCAACTGGGCTCAGCACCTTCCTGTGCTTTCTTGAAGGTGACGCTCTCTGAGGTTTTTATAAAGCCCCTGAAATGGCCCAGGGTCATTTGCAGAGCCAGGTGATCTGGAGTGGTCAGTGTGGAGGTAGAAGGCAGTTTATGATATTTTACCTTTCTCTCTCCTTCCCGAGAACCCTGAGAGAGCCAAAATGTTTTGCTGAGCTTTAATACCAATAATAAAGTTTGAGCTGGGGTAATGATGGCAATCTTTCTACCACCTAATGGAAAAGCTCCATTTATGGCCTGTGTTAAGAGTGGCCAATGAAACATGGAAAATGTGTAATTTGTGCAGAAAATGGGAGTTATGCCATTTTGGTTGGCATAAACAATGCAGCGACTGCTCAGAAATAGCCATGTGCACTCATGAATGGCTCCCCTTATGTGTGCTCTGTTCCTTCCTCTTGCTTTTTCTTTGCTGGGGCATAATCAGGAAAGGAAGCAGTCCCTCTTCCCCTCAGAGCTACACTTTTCAAGGCCAAGAAGATTAACGGATAGTGACAGTTTATCCCCCATCTCTGATTAAGAGGCATTCATGTAACAATGGTCACTTGCCATATCACTGGCCAATGAAATGAAGTGCATATTTATATAAATTGAATTTTTCCAGATTTGTGATGGGGGCATTTCATTGTCGCTGCTGAGCCTGCAGCCTGATCCCACCTTCTGCAATTAAACCTGCTCCCTTTAGATTAGATAAGGGGGACACGTTTTTACAGTGGAAGCTGCCGCCCGATAGGCAACACTTGCAAAGGAGAAATCTGTTCAGCATGAACAAGACTTCCTGCTCCATCCCACCATCCCCTGTCTATGGGGACTGAGGAGGGGACAGGAAGGGAGGGAGGCAGTAACTCACATAAAAAGCTACTGACAAGGTTGCAAGGGCAGAGCGCATGATGGGATGTGTCTTGATTTTTCAGAGTGCCCTCGGTAACATTCTGCACTGAAAGCTGCTGCTTGAACAACATACCAGCAGCAAAAGGATTCAGGGCAGTGGAGACAGAACAGGTTGGAAAACAGTTAAGAGCATTGGCAGCCATATCAGATTTGAAAAAGTATTATTAGATGCTCGCCAGGGCTGGAGCTTAAAAGTTTTGCTGTATGGAATTTTCTCCCCCGTTATTATTTATAACACACAAAAATATTATTTATAAAACACAAAAATATAGCCTGTTTACATTTCCTGATGACAAGAATGAAGTCTGCTGAATGAAGGCTGCACAGCTAGAAACACTTTAAAAGGATGCGGATTTGATTTGTAAATGGGCTGTCACACAGGGACCAACATGAAATATAATATTGACAAATGCAAAGCAATGAAAATTAGCATTTAAAAACCTCTTGAACTGCAGCACAAAGCCAGTTGTGCTACATTTTGTAAAGTCAAACCGTTTAAGAAAAACAAAACAAAACAAAGCAAGCAAGCAAATAACAATGACCTTGTGGTGATGTTGAAACTGTTGATAAATGGAATGAACAAAGGAGTGCTGCTTTTCCCAAAATATATGATGCCCCCCAAGGACAGGCCTGCAAAACTTGTGACTTCCAAAGCTAACGGTGGCCTGGCAGCCACAGTACTCGGAGGGCTGGCAATGTTCTTAGAATCATAGAATCATAGAGTTGGAAGAGACCACAAGGGCCATCGAGTCCAACCCCCTGGCAAGCAGGAAACACCATCAGAGCACTCCTGACATATGGTTGTCAAGCCTCTGCTTAAAGACCTCCAAAGAAGGAGACTCCACCACACTCCTTGGCAGCAAATTCCACTGTCGAACAGCTCTTACTGTCAGGAAGTTCTTCCGAATGTTTAGGTGGAATCTTCTTTCTTGTAGTTTGGATCCATTGCTCCGTGTCCGCTTCTCTGGAGCAGCAGAAAACAACCTTTCTCCCTCCTCTATGTGACATCCTTTGATATATTTGAACATGGCTATCATATCACCCCTTAACCTCCTCTTCTCCAGGCTAAACATGCCCAGCTCCCTTAGCCGTTCCTCATAAGGCATCGTTTCCAGGCCTTTGACCATTTTGGATGCCCTCCTCTGGACACGTTCCAGTTTGTCAGTGTCCTTCTTGAACTGTGGTGCCCAGAACTGGACACAGTACTCCAGGTGAGGTCTGACCAGAGCAGAATACAGTGGCACTATTACTTCCCTTGATCTAGATGCTATACTCCTATTGATGCAGCCCACAATTGCATTGGCTTTTTTAGCTGCCGCGTCACACTGTTGGCTCATGTCAAGTTTGTGGTCAACCAAGACTCCTAGATCCTTTTCACATGTACTGCTCTCAAGCCAGGTGTCACCCATCTTGTATTTGTGCCTCTCATTTTTTTTTGCCCAAGTGCAATACTTTACATTGCTCCCTGTTCAAATTCATCTTGTTTGTTTTGGCCCAGTTCTCTAATCTGTCAAGGTCGTTTTGAAGTGTGATCCTGTCCTCTGGGGTGTTACCACCCCTCCCAGTTTGGTGTCATCTGCAAATTTGATCAGGATGCCCTTGAGTCCATCATCCAAGTCGTTGATAAAGATGTTGAATAAGACCAGGCCCAAGACAGAACCCTGTGGCACCCCACTAGTCACTCTTCTCCAGGATGAAGAGGAACCATTGATGAGCACCCTTTGGGTTCGGTCAGTCAGCCAGTTACAAATCCACTGAGTGGATCAGACCAAGGTGTATCAAACCCACCAGCCTCTTTTCGACAGTAGCCAGCCACATGCGACCTCTGGGAAATGCACCAGAGTCATAGAATCATAGAATCATGTTCTCTTAAGCCAGGCTCTGAAAAGAGCTTCAGGGGTCTCTAAAAGCCCACCTTGAAGGAGAGGAGACCATTACATGCTCTGGGATTCTTCAATGAGCTCAAAGACAACTGCTGGCTTCCCTGTCTGAGGAATGTTTTGCACAGCCAGGACAGAGGAGATCTCGTTCAGCAAAGTCCTTGTCAGCCACAGATCATGAGGGCCAACTGGCCCCCCAGATGCAGCCAACAGAGATCAAGCGCCCTGGGTCTTCAGCGGCCAAGGTCTTTAAAGACCTCTTAATGCTATTCAGTGTAAAGGAGTGGCAGGGCTGCCTTTCATAGAAATAGGACTAGTGGGAAATGACAGTAGGAAGGACATCATGGCAGGGGTTGGCTTCCTCCATTTTGGATTTAGCCCCGCGCCTATTTATTCTGACACAGTTCAGTTTAATGTCTGCCAATAGCGTCACTTCCTTAGATTCCAGAGAAGAGAACCATTACATAGAAATGGCAGATGGGGGGGGGGGGATTTTTCTGAGTTCTCAGATTGTCTTGGAAAAGAACTACCCAAAGTTCCACAGTGTTGGAGTGTGGGACAGAAACTCCAGTAATTTCTGAGTTCCCCAGAGGGGAGTTTCCTGGAGCCCTCAGGTCCTTTGAATGGCAGCCCCACCTGAGGCTTGAGAACCACCACTGCCTGTCCTTGCTATCTTCCTTATAGAATGGCAGATTTGGAAGAGACCCTGGAGGTCCTCTAGTCCAATCCCTGCAAGGCAGGAATCTCAACTACAGCATCCATGACAAATGCTTGGACTGCAAAAACAAACATGGAATAATGCACAGCTGTGCTTGGGGGTAACAAGTTGTGCAGATGTATCCCAGGTAGAGGTGGGAGAGAAATTCAGTGCTATTTGAATTTAAAGGCAAATCTACCACATTTCACATTCCAAAACAATATGCGAACTGGAATACAGCGACCTTTTGATTTTCACACATCTCCAAATTTTGTAGTAGAGTTCTACAGCCAAGTCACATCTACAAAAATATTTATACTGGGGTAAAGTGTGCTTTAAAATCCATAGATCTGTGAAATAACACACACAGAATGAATTATACGATGTGAAAATGTTTTGCAAAAATGTGTATATCAGAGGAAATTGCATACAAGCATGAGTCTACTGGGAGAAATTCGCACTAAAAAGACGAATAATTTTCATGAGGACTTTGCAAACAAAATTGCAAACTGATGTGGAAATGTGTAGAATTTGGGTTTGGAAAAAGCAAAAACTGAGAGAAACTGAAGTGGGCAGATTCACCCATCCCTAGTCCTAGCAAAGTAATTTCTGTTTTATGTTTTTCAAAGCCTATGATATCCATACAACTGGAAGTTGCAAACCAGACCACCAATACTACCCTGTTCATAATCTTCCTTCTCCCTCTGGCTTGCTTTACAGAATGATCCACCCACCTGCGCAGGCACTAAACTCCCTAAATCCTAAATGTGAGGAATTTCCAGAGGGAAAAGCAAATTCCCTTGCATTTTGTTGTCTCATGGGGGGGGGGGCGCAGCAGAGTGAATGTGTGTAAACACTCCAAATGTGTGCTCCAAGCAATAATTCTTAATTGAATCAATTACTGCTAGTGGAAGACAATACCCATTCCCAAGAAATAATTATTCTTGTAGCCGGATCCTATGCATACTTAAAAATCCATTAGGTCCAGTCACAGACGACTCTGGGGTTGCGGTGCTCATCTCGCTCTATAGGCCGAGGGAGTCAGCGTTTGTCCGCAGACAGTTTTTCCAGGTCATGAGGCCAGCATGACTAAGCCACTTCTGGCGAAACCAGAGCAGCGCATGGAAACCCCATTTACCTATTTATCTACTTTACTTTGACATTCTTTCAAACTGCTAGGTGGGCAGGACCTGGGACCGAGCAACGGGAGCTCACCCCGTCGTGGGGATTCGAACTGCTGACCTTTTGATCAGCAAGCCATAGGCTCAGTGGTTTAAACCACAGCGCCACCCGCTGCTTACTCCAATGTAAATCACACAGAATTCAATAAGGTATTCAAAGTATATATGCACAGGATTGCAGCCATAACTTAGGCCCCATCTGCCCAATACATTTAAAGCACTCTTACACAATTTTAACTGTCATGGCTTCCCACCAAAGAATCATGGGAACAGTGGTTTGTTAAGGGAACTGGGAGTTGTTAGGATACCCCCCCCCCATCTCCATCACAATTCTCAGAGTCCTCTGGGAAGAGGGTTTGGTTGTTAACACTGCAAGGAGATCTGATAACTCTCAGCACCCTTAAACTGCAGTTTCTGGGATTCTTTGAAGCCATGATTATTACGATTAAAGTAGTACAAGAATGTTTTAAACATATGCCTTAGGCTTCATGTGGAACATATATCGCTATTATTATTATTATTATTATTATTATTGAGAGTTCAGTCAGTAGAGCGTAAGACTCTTAATCTCAGGGTCATGAGTTCAAGAGATACAGTGTTATAAATTTAAAAATATAAGAAACCGCAAAATGAGTGGGGGGGGAGTGTCAAAATACATATAATTGTTGGGAAATGTTGGATTGTGTTTGTGTCAAAACATTTCTGAAAAAATGAAAAATAAAATTTATTTTTAAAAGTGCCAGTTCTGCAGCTTGGAGAGGTTGTGATCAGGTCTTAAACTGTTACATATAAAAAGGGGGAAAGTGATGGAGTTACGGATGCAAGCAAGGAGCCATGAAGGCAAATATTGCAGCATACCATACATACAGGCTTAATGATTAGTCTAAGACTCTAAGCCAAAGGTCACATTTCTTGAATTGCTTTGTTCACAATTTCCCCAGAGGAGGATCTGAAGGCTCAAAACACAGCTGTAAATCTGAAGCTTTGCTCATCTGGCCTTGCAAGCTGCCTAATGTTTGCTGCAATGATGGCCCTACAGCCCTTCTCCATGCTTCTGGAGAGCAGGGTGGTTGGGAAGCAGACCCTTCCTACCTAGGAGAAGGATTGGGAGCAAGTAAGCAAGAGACAAACCTATTAACTCTCTAAGCAGCTTTCTCCCTTATGAAACCTGGAGGGGGACTGGGGGTAGAATGCTGAATATTTAGAGATTTATGTGCATGCATGCATGCATGTTGTTGTTAAATTGAATTATATGTAATTTAGCTCTTCATTGTCTTTGTTGCTAAAGATTCTTACAGGAGGCAAAAGTGGGGGCAGGTGGAGGAGAGAAGAGACAAACAGATTATCTGTTCAGCATCTTGATAGGCTTTAACTTATTTACAAAGTTGCTTTACAGCCACAACAGTTTAATTAAATTAATATTCTGACTTATTTACAGTAAGCATTATGAATACATGATTACTTTCTCTCTCTTTTTCAATGCTGAATTTCTAATCAGCTCACATGTTCGTAATTAAAGTATGGCACTAAAATACCAATTTTTGATGAGAGAAAATACAGGAAAACATACTTTGTTTTTCCTACCTCTTTAATCTTTCATAATTTCCCCTTTGTGTTTTGAATATATTATACTGTGCAGGATCTTTGAGAAGTGGGAAAATTCTGTTCTAGATTGGAAACCTATTTTCTATATGGCATTCTAGAGGAAATTCAACTTTTAAAATTTGCATCATATCTTTACACGCCCCAGAATTCATCTGCCACTCAGTTGCAAATCTAAGAGGGAGAAGAGACTTCTCTAAAAACTAGATGGGTCCAGATCTTGCCTTGGCTCATGAGAGGTCACCACAAGCACCTGCCAGTCCTATTGTGAAGCAGAGGGAGGCAGCTGCCTCGGGTGGCAAATTCTGAGGGGTGGCTAAAAAGTTATGCCACGTGGTCTGCCCGGCAGCCCCTAAATTAGATTGCTGCCCTAGCATGGCTGGTGCACCAAGGAGGTGACTGAGGCAACCTGCCTCGGGAAGCATGCTCCTTCCACCCCACCAAGGTGTGAGTCCAGATCTGTGGTGGAGGGGAAGCTTCGGTGGCAAGTCTTCCATCAGGCACCAAAGTGCCTCGGGTCTGACATGCACTGTTGCAGAGATGCAGAAAGCCCCACCATTAATGTCAGCTGAGAGCAGTGCTTTTTTCTTTAAAATATATATGTTTAGGGGTACTCTCATTTTCCTCCTCATATAGAAATACGTACCCCAGTGTGTCCCCCCAGAAAAAAATTACTGGCTGAGAGCATTTTCAACTTGATACTCTTCCTCTCCATATCTCAGAGCACTTCTGCTCCTCATATATGTGCAGCCAAATAAAATAGTCTGAAGATGCCAAGTAATTTTTCATTACAGATATTACAAACATAATTCTAATACGTGTATATATGTATTTGGTGAGGAGCTATGCCATCATCCACCCTCCTGTGCTTTGTGGGCGGAAAGGTTTAAAGGGAAATGCTTGTTGCTAGCAAATGTAAAATAAAAATAAATCTACTATATTGGTCTCACTTTAGCTTTTGGAAGCTGGAATCTTGCCCTTTTATACACACCCAAAAGCTGCTTTGCTGTGAAATGGCAAAATTCCACAATAAATCAAATTCACAAATCCGAACAAAGCAGAAAGAGGTGTTTTTTTCACAGCAAAAGCACAGAATTGATTTTGTGATATCAAAGCAAACTATATACATTTCTCCATTTAGGAAAAGGAATAAACCCAAACTACAATATTACTGGGCATGCTTATACATTAGACTTTTCACGCATGTTCCCTAGGTGAAATTATATGAAGCAGTTTATTGGTGAGGCAGAGGGAGGGATGAAAAGTACAGTGGTACCTTGGTAGTTGAATGGCTTGGCTCCCAAACAAATCAGCTGCCGAATGCCGCAAACCCGGGAGTGTTCCAGTTTGCGAACATTTTTCGGAGCTGAATGTCCGACGTGGCTTCCGATTGAATGCAGGAAGCTCTTGAAGCCAATCGGAAGCTGTGCCTTGGTTTTCAAAATGTTTTGGGAGTCGAACAGACTCCCGGAACGGATTAAGTTCAATAACCAAGGTACCACTGTATTTGCCTCTAAATTTCATCTTAAATTGCATTATTTGGGTAGACTTTTCCTGGAAAAATGACATACAAATAATCACAAAAGGGATTATTTCAATAGTTTTCCATCATATCTACCTTTCTGTTGTGTTTTATACTCAGCCCTCCCCCCAGATTGAGGTTTCAGCCTCCCTGGCCACTGGAGGCATCTTCAAGATCAGACTTCTCCTGGGGTCCCTATAATCCACTAGGACCTGGGTGGGATTCCTCAGATTTCCTGATCTCCTCCCACTCTTCCTTGTCACCTGCCCATCCTCTGCATGACATCTCCATGGGGCTTAGGACAGGATCCATCTCTGGAGGTCAACTGACAGCTTCTCCTGACCTTGAGGGGTGGAGGAAGGCTCAAACCAGGGCTTTTTTCCAGCAGGAACTTGCCAGAACTCAGTTCTGGTGCCTCTCAGGTGAGTGCCATTGCTATGCTAAGAGAAAGAGGGAGACGTTCATGGTGAGTTCCAGCACCTCTTCTAGAAAAATAGCATTGGCTCTGTCCAGAGGCTTTATGGCTAGAATAGCCAAATGTACATGATCTCACTCAGTGAAAATATGTGAGAATATTGTGTGTGATGTCAGCTTTCCGTAGATTAAAGATGTGGGTTGATAATTAGTGAACTGTGAGGTGTAGGTGGATTCCCACGAGGCAAGACACAGCGATAACAGCAGGAACCTTTATTGAACTAACAGAACTGGACAACCGGGCAAAGCAACTGCTTATATGCATTTTTGAAGGTCTGGGTCACTCCCACTCCCAACGTGACTGGCTGTCTAAACTTCCAAACTGCGAATCATGACTCAGAGTTTAAGGGCCAATGGCAGAGGCCCAAATTCTGAAATGTTCTTTGGACAGGAAAATTGGCTTCCAGGTGGAAAGATCCAAATTAGAAACAGAATTGTTAGAACCCAATACTAAGAATTTGTCAAGAATGTATAACTTGCTGCTGAAATGGAATATTCAAGATGAAACGGTAAAATCGGCTATGATTAAATGGGCACAGGACGTTGGTCATAACATTATGTTTGCTGACTGGGAACAGTTATGGACCACAGGTATGAAATTTACGGCATGTAATGCCTTAAGAGAGAATATTATGAAAATGATATACAGGTGGTACATAACCCCAGTCAAGCTTGCGAAAATCTATCATTTGCCTGATAACAAATGTTGGAAATGTAAAGAAACTGAAGGTACATTTTTCACCTTTGGTGGACGTGCCCAAAGATTAAGTCTTTCTGGGAATTGATATATAATTAATTAAAATATGTATTTAATTATACCTTCCCTAAGAAACCAGAGGCCTTTCTTCTGGGCATAGTCGGCCAAATGGTGTTAAAAAAGGATAGAACTTTCTTTATGTATGCAACAACAGCAGCAAGAATACTCATCGCAAAGTATTGGAAGACACAAGAACTTCCCACGCTGGAGGAATGGCAGATGAAACTTATGGACTATATGGAATTGGCGGAAATGACTGGTAGAATCCGTGACCAGGGAGAAGAGTCGATGGAGGAAGACTGGAAGAAATTCAAAGACTATCTTCAGAAACACTGCAAAATTAAGGAATGTTAGAGTGATGTTGGACTGAAAACAAGTGGTTTCCAGCTGCACAGGTTAAAGTTAAGGATAGATTAAGATTAAAGATTAAGATTAAAGAAGTTTAAAGAAATGGAAATTTGATTTTAAAAGGGAAAACTTTAAAGCTATATGATATTAAGATCAAGGATTAGGTTTAAAAAAGTTGAAGTTATATATTTTAACATTTTACTAAATTAAAGATTGGGATTAAAAAGTAGAAAAGAAACTGCTGGACAAATAATGTGGATTGGAATACAAAGAGGGAGGTATGAGGAAGTCCAGAAAATAAGTAACTTAAAATTGGAAATGGAAAAGAGAGTTTGTTTTTAATTGTTTTGTGTTTATATTGTTAAGTTTTGTATTGTTTTTTGTGTGTGTTGTTTTTCTTTTTTTGTTGTTTAAAACTTTAATAAAAAAAATATAAAAAAAAAACAAATTCTGAAATGTTCTGTGATTGGGTATCATGTATTGAATCAGAACACAGGAGCTCAGAATCCTTAGTCCAGACTCAAGCTCAGGCAAACACAGCTCACAGAATACATAACCAACTGGGTATGCGGAACCTATCCACTGGCCATGTCAGATTAAGGGCACTAAATTCCAACCATTTACATGATTAGATGTCATATCTAACAGACACTTTGATCCCCTAGTATAGTGAGTAAAGTAAGTCAATATTACTCCTATTATTAATAACAACATTCACAGAAACAGAATTTGAAATCATATTAAGGCATTGACAAAAATTAACAAAAGCAAAAAGAATTCAGAGTTTTGTCAAATGCAGCTTCTCAATTACTATATTGTACTGAGTTACAGCTTTCACAAGTCAAACCACTGAACGGCCTCAAAAATAGCTTTTACTGAAGACTGGAGAGGCAGCCATCAAAACATGTTGTGTCTTCCTTGTAACAAAGAATTCCTTGCAATATAATATTATGTATTCTAATTTAGTTCACTTGAGAACTGTGCCACATAGAGGTCTTTGACTTATGATTGGAATATCTGCTCTTAAATTCTTAAATTCTGGTTTGAATAATGATACGCCAAGGTTCTCATTATTGCAACTTTTAAAACTATTTCTGCAGCGCTGGATGACACCTTTTAACCAGGGTATTGGCTTTCTTTCAGCTTTCATTGATGGAGATTTTACCATATGCTGGAAACATTCCAGTTAGCAGCCACACACTTATTGCCTGTCATGATCCATGATGGGTCTCAGAGTATAAATTAATTTTCTGACATAAGAGGCCAGCCACTTTGATATGATCAGCTGCTGACACTGATTGGCAGATGGGAAACAGATGCTTTGGCAGACTCAAAATGTAACATTTACTGAAAAAAGTGAGTGATAAAAAATCCTTTAAATATTGAATGAAGGAAAAAGAACTTGCTTAAAACTTGCTGCACCAAAACCCACTAACTAAAGGCAGTGCTTTTTTTCTGGCATTACCAGCACTGTTCTTTCCAGGAAAAAATAACTGATGACCCACAGAAGCGATGTCCCTTCACTGCTGGAGAGCAGCAGCTCCTCCTCTGCTTTCCTCCCCAGAAGCAGCCTTTAGTGCGAGAGTCGCCAGACCCTGCAGAGCTCCACCTCCCAGCGGGCTCCGTGGGCTCCCTCGCCGCCTTTTCTGGAAGGGAGCAGATTATCGTTTGCAGCCCCAGGAAGAGCCAGTTGGTTGGTGGGAAGCTTTGACAGGTGTGTGAGATGGCTCCCCCCCCCCCCCGCAACTGCAGCTTCCTCTCCCCCCAACTCATTCCACTGCCCCCCCAGCAAGGTCTGGTTTATTTGAGGAGCCCCCTCTGTCATTGAGTTGAGGGGGAGAACTACAACTCAGCCCCCTTTTTGCAGAGGGGTAGATGAGATGGGGTCCCAGTTCCTCCCTCCCTTCAAAGACTAAATCTATTTCTCTTCTCTGTCTTATAGTTTCACCTCTTTTCCCTCTGAAATTCCTTTCAGTGGCAGAGCTTCATGCTCTGGCACAGGGGCACGGAGAGCAGGCAGGGGCGGGGCTGGCGTGCGTACTGCCCACAGAGGCGTGGTGTGTGTCCTGAGGGCGGGGCATGCCACCTGCAGGGGCATGGCACCCAGCGCGGGCGGGGGGCAGCCACGATGGCACCCTACTGGGATCGCGCTGCCGGGGGCGGTGGGCTCCCCCCGCACTCCTCTTCCTCCGCCAGTGATTCCCTTGAAACTTTCTCTCCTAAGGGGGGGGGCATTCCACTTCCCCCGTTTTTCTTTATTTCTTTTTTTGGGGGGTGTGGTTTTGCGTATCTCCTTCCTTCCTGAAACCCCTTGGCCAGTCCTCTCCCTTTGCGTTGAGCCTTGCAAAGAAGGACTTGCTGCCAGCACATGTGAGACAGGTGCCCTGATGGCTTTCTTGGGGGGGGTGCTGCTTGAGCCCGGTGCTGCTCTCAGCAAAGGGAGCAGGGTGGAGGGAGGCAGGAAGGGATGGGGGCCACACAGGCACAAGATGGCCTCACTTGCACCTTTGCCTCCGGTTCCAGGGGCGGGAAGAGAGAGAGTTTTGTGCACACTCAGAATTTCATGTGCATGAAAAAGAACCCCTGCTCTCCTAGCATGCAATGAGGAAATATTATTTATAAGATGTGTTAGTCACTTTCTCTTGCCCAAAGCAACCCCAAGCGACATACAACCAAATTAGGAACTGACTATATATATATATGTTTAAGTAGTAAGTATGGGTCAGCTGATCTGTTGTTGTTGTTTAGTTGTTTAGTCGTGTCCACCTCTTTGTGACCCCCTGGACCAGAGCACGCCAGGCACTCCTGTCTTCCACTGCCTCCCACAGTTTGGTCAGACTCATGTTTGTAGCTTCGAGGACACTGTCCAACCATCTCGTCCTCTGTCGTCCCCTTCTCCTTCTGCCCTCCATCTTTCCCAACATCAGGGTCTATTCCAGGGAGTCTTCTCTTCTCATGAGGTCGCCAAAGTATTGGAGTCTCAGCTTCAGGATTTGTCCTTCCAGTGAGCACTCAGGGCTGATTTCCTTCAGAATAGATAGGTTTGATGTTCTTGCAATCCATGGGACTCTCAAGAGTCTCCTCCAGACCATAATTCAAAAGAATCAATTCTTCGGCAATCAGCCTTCTTTATGGTCCAGCTCTCACTTCCATACATCACTACTGGGAAAACCATGGCTTTAACCCCCTTTTACCCCTTCATGGACACTGCCTTGCTGTGGCGAAGGGGCTTGAATAACTCAGAGAAGCTATGAGCTATGCCGTGCAGGGCCACCCAAGATGAACAGGTCATAGTGGACAGTTTTGACCAAACATGATCCACCTGGAGCAGGAACCGGCAAGCCACTCCAGTATCCCTGCCAAGAAAACTCCATGGACAAAGACAACAGGCCTCAGCTGATCTACAAATCACTAAAACAATGACTTAGGGCATGAGAAGATGAGCTCACATTTTCTGCCCTCAGAGAATGCAAGGTCAGTTTGTTGACCGCCTCCTGCTTTCACGTCACCCTCTTTCATCCGTTGTAAATGTCATGGACTGGTTGGGCATAAAGTAATGGTGGGAGGAACCAGCCGGGGAATCCCAAAGAGAAGAAGGCTCAGAGCCTGAGGAAACAATGGTGGGACAATGATGAGTGGTTGGAGGGAGAAGAGAGAGAAGATTGGGAAGAGAAGGTGTTGGATGCTGAAGAGGCAACAGGGCTTAGTAAGCGGGGAGAGACTGTGGCAGAGACAGCTCCAGAATCGGAGGCAGAAGCTGAAGCAGGAGAGGAGGGAGGCCAAGAGGCAGAGATGTCAAGCTAATGAAGAGTCATGGGTGTCTCCCCCTCCTGCTGTGACAAGCTCCCCTCCTCGCATCTCCCAGAGGGCTGAAACAGGGGGAGCAGCAAAAACCTTCTTGCAGGCACAGTTTCTGATTGCTTAGGAAAAAGCTCTGGAGACTGCTGTGCGAAGGTGGGGACTATCAGTCTCTGGTTTTCATGGCTTTTCAGCTAAGTCTGTGATGATCGTTTTTTTGCTAATAAAAAGTTAACTCCAATTTTGAACGGTATGATTACTGACTGGCATGCTCCTGTGACCGTAGGTGTGTGTTTCTCTCCATACGCAGGACTTTACCAGAAACATGCTTGCACCTAAGTTTCTGGGTGTTCCCAGGGAGCGAGTCACCCAACAAAGGCCATGACTGTAAGTGGATATGAAAACAGACAGGAAGACATGGAAATAACATCGGTCCAGTCAATAACCCGCCTTTCTTCCTCATTCACCACTTGCCCTCTTCCAGCTTTCTGCCCTCCTAAGTTTGTTGATTCCAGCCATCCAATGCAATATTTGTTCAGCTGGCAGACCTGGTTTAGAAGAGCTCTTCTAAGAAGAAAAGTGCATGATGCAGCCAAAATTAAGCACATTCCATTCTCATTTGTGGGAGAGATTTAAGCATACACTTCCATTAAAACAGAATTTTAAAGAGCCAGGTTAAAGAATGTGCTTGCTTTTCCAGAAGGGAAAGATGGACAACAGAGAACAACATTGTGATATACAAATGTTTAATATACAAAAGTGGGAATGATGGTGGATGTACATTTGCAGAGATACTGCATAGGTTGCAATGGATGTCTGAATTTGGATGAATGTCAGTATTCACATGTGAATATTGACAATCCCAGAAAACTCGAATACAGCCTTGAATGCCGACAATCACCTAAATGTCAGTGTCCACATATACAGTATAGATCCAAAAAATAAGGAGATAGGTGCCTTTGTAGGTGCATTTATAAAATTTGACTTGTTAACAGTTACACGTGAGTGAAACATTGGGGGGCATCCTGCAAAAAAACATGATGTGAACTGTTTCAGTCTTCACTCTCAGGTACCTACCTATCTTTTATGGCCATTGTAAGCAATATGCATGTGCATTAGAAAGAAGATAACCAGAGAATACATTAAGTGTTGTCAACCACTTGTGGGAGTAGGAAGTCAGATAACAAATTCAAAGAGGCAGGTGAGTTTCATTTGATACAAGGCGGCACAGCAGGTAGTGCTGGGAGCATCCACAAATATCTATTTCCACACAAAACCTTAGCCTAAGGCAGGGATGGAAAACTTTCTTCATTTCTTTGGGGGAGGTGTGTTCCCTTGCTTGGAATCTTCCAGGGTCCACATCCGCGTGGCAGGCTGGCCAGAGACTTAAGTGGGCAAAGCAATAGATGTGACTCTTTCTTTTGTACAATAAGCAACGTTCATCTTTGTACCAGAGGTTAGATGCCAAAGTCAGGTGTTTCAGACTCAAACTTATACATCTTCAACCAGGCAAACAGGAGGCATTATTAAAGTTCAGTGGTGCATTCTGGTCAGGCAGAGGCATCTGAGAATGTGAAAAGGGGCTAGCAAGGGTCTGGCCTGGGGAGTGCTTAGGGCCAGACAGAACAGCCTAGAGGGCCACATGGAGGCCCCCCATTTCTGGTTTAAGGCTGCAATAAGTCCATTGTGTGGTTGAGATTGGATTCAGGGTTTTTCAAGTCATCCGGGTCTCATGCAGCCAATATAACAGCTGCAAAGATATTCTACTGGAGTAATTTCATTGCCAAGCAAACAGCAATCCATGAAACTGAATGTTTAAGATTGCCTGTCACCATCACTTCTAGACTTCAGGATGGGGGGTGGGCAGAGAGAAAAATATCCAACATTTGCTCACACATTATTATGCAAAAATAGAGTAGGGACAGAAGCTTTAGAATATTGTAGAATGGATATTGTGCCACAACATCATAGGACTACTTGATGGCATTTCTCAGAAAAAAATTGTTTTCATCTGTTTCCTTGGGATTTCTGGGGAACCAATAAATATTAAATAAGCTATTTTCTGATTTTGTTCCCCTTCTCTGCCTCACTTGCCTCACTAGGTCTATATAGTGCCTCCTTGTCTATTTTTGTGTGTCTTTTAATAACTATTTTTTTCTTTCCAAAAAGCTTCCTTTGTAATGCAAATGGATTCCAGTACAAAAACCACCTCTTTCTATATTCTCAAAGTCATCTTGTCATTTCATATACTGTCGTTTATGGACAGATTCACCCATGTGAATACATCCTGTCCTGTTTTTGTAGCCAGAGTTTCTGAGAGAAACACAGAGAGAGAGAGAGATCATAAGAAAGAAAACTACTGCTCCATTTTGATAATAGAGTGTCTCCATGGAGTCTTGTGCAATAATGCCCCGTCCCCCCCGCAAATAAAATTCTCTCACACACACAAATACACAGACTTGGTTGTCCTCTGTGGTTGTATCTTTTAAATGTAGAATTTTGCTTTCTTTGGGAGAAAAGAACATTTTATCATAAGCTTCACTAACATGTCTCAAAAATTTCTTAGAATGAGAATGTAGAAGTTGCTGGTGTCTACTTTAAGTAAGCATAAAATAAAAGAACAGTCTGACTAATTTGGACCAAAGTCCCACTTACTTCAGAATCCTGCCTGCAGTAGTCAGTTGCCTCTGGAAAGTACACAAGCAGGAGAAGTAGCAAGTGCGCACCTGCTTTTATTTGAACAAGACATAGAATGCTCCTTCTGAACACAGACGTTCCATTTAACTATTGTGGCTATGCATGCAATTGTGTGTGGGCATAGACTATGATTTTGTGTCTAATCCACTAAAGGCCATCACCAGTTCCTGTGAGAGGGAGTTATCAGTGATGTGTTGTGTGAATAAGCCCGCCCTCAGCACCATTGGCTGACACCACTGGTTACAACCCACTGGACCCAGAACTCTCCCATCTGGTAGCAAGGGAGCCGCAGCATTCCTAAAAACTATGGTTGGCATTCACAGCAGATTTCAACACATTCTCTCTCTCTCTCTCTCTCTCTCTATATATATATATAGTTGCACATCTTTTTTCCTTCTAGCAAATTTGTACCACCACTATATTTATTTAGATTAAGATTTTCTCATACCTCACTTTCCCCCTCCCCTCAAAGCAGCTAACAGAGTCCAAGTGTGGCATTTGCCTATTCTGTTAGAAATGTCTGTACAGGGGGAGAGAAAGAGTTAATAGGTAGACCAATAGAAAAGCCAGAGGCGGAGACTACCTGTTTATAAAAGGGCTTAGCCCAAGGTTTAGTTACTTGATAGTTGGTTGGGAAGAAACGGTTGTAATCATTAAGTTGTAATCATTCAACTTGTTTTTATTATTGCTTGTAAGCTGCTCTGAGCCTGGCCTTGGCTGGGGAGGGCGGGGTATAAATAAAAATTATGATGATGATGATGATCATAGAATAGAATCATAGAATCATAGAATCATAGAGTTGGAAGAGACCACAAGGGCCATCAAGTCCAACCCCCTGCCAAGCAGGAAACACCATCAGAGCACTCCTGACATATGGTTGTCAAGCCTCTGCTTAAAGACCTCCAAAGAAGGAGACTCCACCACACTCCTTGGCAGCAAATTCCACTGTCGAACAGCTCTTACTGTCAGGAAGTTCTTCCTAATGTTTAGGTGGAATCTTCTTTCTTGTAGTTTGGATCCATTGCTCCGTGTCCGCTTCTCTGGAACAGCAGAAAACAACCTTTCTCCCTCCTCTATGTGACATCCTTTGATATATTTGAACATGGCTATCATATCACCCCTTAACCTCCTCTTCTCCAGGCTAAACATGCCCAGCTCCCTTAGCCGTTCCTCCTAAGGCATCGTTTCCAGGCCTTTGACCATTTTGGTCACCTTTGACCATTTGACCATTTTGATGTCACCTTTCATCTGAGGATCACAGGGCAGTTCATAACATATAGGCGGAAATCAGCCCCTGTCACAGCTTCCAAGCCAGCATTAGCAGCGCACAGGGTTCGGCAGCTGGCAGCAGCAAAAAAAAGAAGAAGCCTAACAGGGTGCAGTCGACTCAATTTTAGCACATTTGGATGCCTTGGAGGCAGGTACCAGCTCAGCTTCACAGGAAATGCCAGCTGTGGATGTCAATTTGTTGTTGTTTAGTCGTTTAGTCGTGTCCGACTCTTCGTGACCCCATGGACCAGAGCACGCCAGGCATTCCTGTCTTCCACTGCCTCCCGCAGTTTGGTCAGGCTCATGTTTGTAGCTTTGAGAACACTGTCCAACCATCTCGTCCTCTGTCATCCCCTTCTCCTTGTGCCCTCCATCTTTCCCAACATCACGGTCTTTTCCAGGGAGTCTTCTCTTCTCATGAGGTGGCCAAAGTCTTGGAGCCTCAACTTCAGGATCTGTCCTTCCAGTGAGCACTCAGGGCTGATTTCCTTCAGAATGGATACGTTTGGTCTTTTTGCAGTCCATGGGACTCTCAAGAGTCTCCTCCCGCACCATAATTCAGAAGCATCAATTCTTCGGCGATCAGCCTTCTTGATGCTCCAGCTCTCACTTCCATACATCACTACTGGGAAAACCATGGCTTTAACTATACGGACCTTTGTTGGCAAGGTGATGTCTCTGCTTTTTAAGATGCTGTCTAGGTTTGCCATCGCCTTTCTCCCAAGAAGCAGGCGTCTTTTAATTTAAAGTAAAATCTCTCACTGCCTCCATTTCTTCCCCTTCTATTTGCCAGGAGGTGATGGGCCCAGTGGCCATGATCTTCATTTTTTTGATGTTGAGCTTCAGACCATATTTTGCGCTCTCCTCTTTCACCCTCATTAAAAGGTTCTTTAATTCCTCCTCACTTTCTGCCATCAAGGTTGTGTCATGTGCATATCTGAGGTTGTTGATATTTCTTCCGGCAATCTTAATTCCGGTTTGGGATTCATCCAGCCCAGCCTTTCGCATGATGAATTCTGCATATAAGTTAAATAAGCAGGGAGACAATATACAGCCTTGTTGTACTCCTTTCCCAATTTTGAACCAATCAGTTGTTCCATATCCAGTTCTAACTCTAGCTTCTTGTCCCACATAGAGATTTCTCAGGAGACAGACGAGGTGATCAGGCACTCCCATTTCTTTAAGAACTTGCCAAAGTTTGCTGTGGTCGACACAGTCAAAGGCTTTTGCATAGTCAATGAAGCAGAAGTAGATGTCTTTCTGGAACTCTCTAGCTTTCTCCATAATCCAGAGCATGTTTGCAATTTGGTCTCTGGTTCCTCTGCCCCTTCGAAATCCAGCTTGCACTTCTGGGAGTTCTCGGTCCACATACTGGATGTCAATAGGGAAGTTTGTCTCCCAGTTCAGAGCTGGTGAGGTAAAGTCACCTGCCATGAAGGCATTGTGGTTGGTGGGGTTGAACTGTATAGGTCAGGGGGAGTCCATGTGAAAGTTGTCAGCACTGACCTCTTCCTACTGACCTGCAGAGGGTGTGCAAGAGCACCTCTTGGGGTGGGCAAAGAGATTTGTCCCCTTTCAGTGGCAGTTCAGGTGTGGGAAAAGAAATAGTTTGGTTTAGCCTGGTGACATACTTTAGGCACCTTTCAGGTGATGAGTCGACCCCAAGGCTCACTTCTCAAACTCTGTGGTTCAGAGGGTGAGATAGGGGCCTCCTTTGAGGCCAAATTCCCTCATCCACCTGGGGTTCTGCGGTCCGGGGTTGGGGTGGTAAGGCCTCCCTTCTCACCTTAAAGATGTGGCCCATGAATCAGGGCAGGTTGCTCAGTGGCTATTGTTATATAGTTAAGTTAGTTCCTGTACCTTAGTCACCCAGCTCTGCTGAATTTAAGGCCAAAATAAAAGTGGCCCAGTTCAACCGCAGCTTATGTGTCTGTCTCTTTATTTGCCTGTTGGGATGCAAAGGATTCACTGTAAAGTTTTGTGTATTGCTCTGTGATTTGTCCCAAGCTACCCTCAACTGTCTTGTATGGGTGAACATGTGAATAGTACGTAGAGGCAAGATTTATTAATGGCACATTTTAGCTAATGGCTGAATGCTGAGGTTGCCCCAATGTCCTCACAATCAGGGCTGAACTCACTTTGATGTAATATCTGCTGAACTTTGGGTTCACTTCTTTCTTCTGCCTTGAGGTAGAAAAGATATATTCAGAGACAATAGTTTTTGTGTATATATATATATATGTATGTATATGTGTGTGTGTGTGTGTGTGTATACAGTGGTACCTCAGGTTACATACGCTTCAGGTTACATACGCTTCAGGTTACAGACTCCATTAACCCAGAAATATTACTTCGGGTTAAGAACTTTGCTTCAGGATGAGAACAGAAATTGTGCTCCAGCGGCGCGGCAGCAGCGGGAGGCCCCATTAGCTAAAGTGATGCTTCAGGTTAAGAACAGTTTCAGGTTAAGAACGGACCTCCGGAACGAATTAAGTACTTAACCCGAGGTACCACTGTATATGGATCTTGCGTTCCATGATATCATTGTACCATATGCAGCAAGGCACAGTTCAGACAGACTAATAATATGTTCTCAGAATTAGAAAAAAACAACAACATTTAATAGATACAATTGTGTGTGCATTTTTGGTATGCCTACATAATTATTATCAGGAGAAGAGTATTCTCTATTTACAGGGTTTCTCACACCTTGAACTTTGGGTCTCCTGTGAAACTTAATCAGTGTGCAGTGGTTCACAACAGATAAATCAAGAAAAAAAGAGGTTCACAACATGGAAAGCAAGTAAAATCAATTTTAAATATCTGAAAGAATAATTAAGGCTTTATTGCAGTAACTGCAGCAGCCAAACCAGAAAAAAATCAAAGTAGCAATAGTCAGGGAATGCCAGGATAGACAGGTAGGTTCTCAGCCATCTATAGAACCACAATACCTGATCTCCACTGACAGTTCATTCCACATAGTGGGAGCCACAGTGGAGAAGGCCATCTACACAGTGGAGGACACCATCTACAGACTGCACTGACCTTGGCAGACAATATGAGGATAGGCAGTCGTAGAGAACCTGGTCCCAAACTATTTAGGACTTTGTAGATCCAAACCAACACCTTAACCTTGGCTTGGTAGCTAATGTGCAGCCACTGCAGAACCTTCATCACCAGGTCTGCATGTGTCCAGCCTTCTGAGTCACACAAGGCTTCTCCTATCATTGCATGGGTCCTAGTAACTAGGCTCTGCCTGTCCAAGAAAGGTTGTAGCAGGCAACCCCACTGAAGCTGGCACAACTTAATGCACAGTTCACATGGGCCTCCAACAACAAAGAGCTAGGACTGCTCTCAGACAAGGCACCTGGCTTTCAGGTGCAGTCAGCGGGTGAACTGCCCAATTCCCAGGCACAGGAACTTTCCACCCACAGTGCTTCTGACTTATCAGGATTCACTTACATGATTGCAGGCTAAATTGTCATTATCCAGATACACCATATCTGGTATAACACCATAAACCCTTCCAGCTGACGTAGCATTTGACCAAGAAAACAATGCAGCTTGCTCCAGCTCTATTCCAGGTGGTCCAATGCATGGCCTAAGGGCTGCGCTTTGGAAGCCCTCAGCAGCATTTGATGCCCCCTCAGGTCTCACACTGCCATCCCAAAGCCAGAGAAGGAGGCACTGGGCTTTGGGAAGGCAGTGTGAGAGCTCTGACAAGGTCCTAGAGTCCTCCCACATCTTTCCCAGTTGCCTAGTTAGCACTTTCCCAGCTTTGGGAAGGAGACAGGAGGACTCTCAGACCCTTCCAGAGCCTCACAATGCAGGCACCTCAGCTAAAGCATCCATGACATATGGCCATCCAACCTCTGCTTGTCTTTTCCATTACTAGAGTTGAAGCAACACCCCACAAGTCATACTGGGAACCCTCACAAAGCCTCTATTTCTGTGTTTTTCTAGGTCCACAGGCTTTGCAAGAAGTCATGCTGTCCCAAATATGTTTCCAAGTACAATTCAAAGTGTTGGTGTTGATCTTTAAAGCCCTAAATGGCCTCGGTCCAGTATACCTAGAATCATAGAATCATAGAATCATAGAGTTGGAAGAGACCACAAGGGCCATCAAGTCCAACCCCCTGCCATGCAGGAAACACCATCAGAGCACTCCTGACATATGGTTGTCAAGCCTCTGCTTAAAGACCTCCAAAGGAGACTCCACCACACTCCTTGGCAGCAAATTCCACTGTCAAACAGCTCTTACTGTCAGGAAGTTCTTCCTAATGTTTAGGTGGAATCTTCTTTCTTGTAGTTTGGATCCATTGCTCCGTGTCCGCTTCTCTGGAGCAGCAGAAAACAACCTTTCTCCCTCCTCTATGTGACATCCTTTTATATATTTGAACATGGCTATCATATCACCCCTTAACCTCCTCTTCTCCAGGCTAAACATGCCCAGCTCCCTTAGCCGTTCCTCATAAGGCATCGTTTCCAGGCCTTTGACCATTTTGGATGCCCTCCTCTGGACACGTTCCAGTGTCCTTCTTGAACTGTGGTGCCCAGAACTGGACACAGTACTCCAGGTGAGGTCTGACCAGAGCAGAATACAGTGGCACTATTACTTCCCTCGATCTAGATGCTATACTCCTATTGATGCAGCCCAGAATTGCATTGGCTTTTTAGCTGCCGCGTCACACTGTTGGCTCATGTCAAGTTTGTGGTCAACCAAGACTCCTAGATCCTTTTCACATGTACTGCTCTCAAGCCAGGTGTCCCCCATCTTGTATTTGTGCCTCTCATTTTTTTTGCCCAAGTGCAATACTTTACATTTCTCCCTGTTAAAATTCATCTTGTTTGTTTTGGCCCAGTTCTCTAATCTGTCAAGGTCGTTTTGAAGTGTGATCGTGTCCTCTGGGCTGTTAGCCACCCCTCCCAATTTGGTGTCATCTGCAAATTTGATCAGGATGCCCTTGAGTCCATCATCCAAGTCGTTGATAAAGATGTTGAATAAGACCGGGCCCAAGACAGAACCCTGTGGCACCCCACTAGTCACTCTTCTCCAGGATGAAGAGGAACCATTGATGAGCACCCTTTGGGTTTGGTCAGTCAGCCAGTTACAAATCCACTGAGTGGTAGCATAGTCAAGACCGCATTTTACCAGCTTCTTTACAAGAATATCATGAGGCACCTTGTCAAATGCCTTGCTGAAATCAAGGTAGGCTACATCCACTGCGTTCCCTTCATCTACCAGGCTTGTAATTCTGTCAAAAACGAGATCAGGTTAGTCTGACATGACTTATTTTTCAGAAATCCATGCTGACTATTGGTGATCACAGCATTCCTTTCTAGGTGCTCACAGACTGTTTGCTTAATGATCTGCTCCAGAATCTTCCCTGGTATTGATGTCAGACTGACTGGGCGGTAATTATTTGGGTCCTCTCTTTTCCCCTTTTTGAAAATAGGGACAACATTTGCCCTCCTCCAGTCTGCCGGGACTTCGCCTGAAGGAGCATCTCTACCCCCATTGTTCTGCCCGGACCCTGGGGTCCACCACCGAGGGCCTTCTGGTGATTCCCTCACTGCGAGAAGCAAAGCTACAGGGAACCAGGCAGAGGGCCGTCTCGGTTGTGGCACCCACCCTGTGGAACGCCCTCCCACCAGATGTCGAGGAAATAAACAACCAGCTGACTTTTAGAAGACACCTGAAGGCAGCCTTGTTTATGGAAGTTTTTAATGTTTGATGTTTTATTGTGCTTTTAATTCTGTTGGGAACCGCCCAGAGTGGCTGGGGAAACCCAGCCAGATGGGCGGGGTATAAATAATAATTATTATTATTACTGTAAAGTGTTGAAGTTTTTTCCCCTTTGTTTTTTATTAAAGAACAGCAGCAAAGGTGGTGGTGGTGATTTTTTTTTTTTAGCACCATTTAAATACATTCCTACTACCAATGATTCTTGCCTCTGAAGCCCACCTGCCTAATGAAGTAACCTTTCCTGGTATCTGTTGGGATGCTGCACCCCAGAAAAGTCATCTGACAGGTCTATATTTATAGATGATTTTGTTCTTTAAAAAGAAGAAATGAGAATTTTATGTATTTTTAAAGGTTTCTGTAAGTGTTGTACAGTATATAAAAGTGTGATATGTGTATATTGATATTTTGGTTTTTATTTTAATGGAATTACATCAATATTTAATAAGAGATAGAAAACGACACAAATGAATCCATTTATTGGTGGCAAATGTCTTGGAAATGCCTGCATGAAACTGAATACACAGGGGACATAAGAATTCATGGTGCTCACGTGAATGGCATTGCCGTTGCCCTAGTTATTCTTTGCTGCTTTGTTTTACCAAGTGTGTGAGAGAAAATTTGGGGAAATGTGTAACAGAGGGAACACGCAGGACAGGGGGAGGAGGCAATGGTAGTTTTGCCAATAATTTTTACTTTGGTGCCTTCTGTTGCTGAACAGAAGCCGTATGTACAGAACTGCTCACTTTCTCTACCTCTAGAACAGAAAGATTTGCAATGAAAATGAATACTAAAATGGTGCATTGCATTACTCTGTTAGACTGTCTGATTTTTATAGATTTCAAGATAAGAGCTGGATTTTCCTTGATTTGTCCTCATCGGTAAGCCAAAACAATTAAGAAAAATCTGAGAGAAATTTTGAAATGAAAGACACACTTTTAAACTTTATTAAGATATTGCAAATGCCATCTATGTTATTGTGTTTATAAAGTCATTCAAAAGCCTCATGCAGGCCCAATTTAGATGTGTGTATTTCTAAATGGCCTTTTCTACAACAAAATACACAAGCAACTGGGTGCGTTTTTCTGAGCGCTGTAGATAATTAATCTCATTTTCCCTGTGCTTCAGTTTGTGTTCTGTTAGTTTTCTTATTCAAACTTTTGACTCACAAATCTAATTTGAAGCCTCTTTAACTGACCTATGTGGTAATGTGTTTCATCTGCATGTGACGTTTAGCAGTGAGCAATAAGGCCAGCATACTAATTTGCTCCTTGGTGGATGCAATTTTTGGTGTACAAACATCACCTGTGCTCAACACTTCTGCACTACAGAAAGTGCCCAACCCCTCCCCAGAAGAGATGGATGTCTTAAAAGGCAGATAGGAGAGTGATGTGTGAGAGAGGCGGCAGTGATAAACAGGGCCTGTTAGAAAAGCCCTGGTCTAGATGGTGCCACAGAGGGAAAGCTGAGTATGGACTGCACCATTACAGTAGGCAGGGCAAAACTGACAGGGTTCTACCTCTGGTCTCTCACAAACAGGAGGACACCAGCTTTCTTTGGAACAACAGTTAAGGATGCCATGGGATAGTCAGGAAGCAAGGGAACCCAGTAAGGCTGCCCAATGATTTGTGAAAGGATAGAAAGGGCTTCACCAAAACCCGACAAAACAACTGGCAAAGCTCATCCATGAGAATTTCCCTCCTTTTTGATGATTTTAAATGTCATTTATTTTCTCATTAGCTGATAGAGAATTGTGAACTGCCCTGAGACCTGCAGGTATAGGGCAGTATACAAATCAAATAAGTAATAATAATTATTTGGGGGGGGGGTTAGAAAATTTTGGAACAGCATCAGTACAGGATTAAACCGAATGTTTATGATGTGTATGATGCAAGCAGTAGTCCATTAAGTGCCAGGTATGAAGGGGGCTTTACTCCTCAGATAGATTGGGGAGGGAATGGTGGGCTTCTTAAAGCTGTAATGGAGACTTGACAAGGGAGGACCCCTTTATTAGAGCACATGCAAGATATACAACCGCTGAGAGGATGATTTCTTATTCCTGCAACACAACAAATGAACATCTGAATCAGACCAGTTCTACAAAGCTGCCTGTTTAGTTTTGCAGTATGAATACAGTATATATCCAGGAAGAAGAGCAGGGAAAGAAAGGAAAACGGCAGGGAATACAAGATGTCGGAATCCTGGCAGCACCTGCAGTTATTAATATATTATTTTGAACGAAATGTCATTACTATTTTATTTAAAATTAATGCAATTCACCAGACCATAAAGAAGGTCCTTTAGAATAAATGGCGGCTTTCCAAGCACAGCTACTGGGCTGCTGATTACAATGGATTCTGACATTTTTGACAGTTTTATAATTCTCATATTCTGTTCGTAGCTATGCTCTGAAGTGTGTCTGCTTTGCTGAATTCTTCCTCCTGGGGCATGGCGCTAAAGTTTGGTGAACTGAAAGGACAATAAAGCAGTTTGATAGGCAAAAACAGAAAATTACTGTGCTATACAAAGTTGCTTGTTTGATGACTCCAGGAAAATTAGCATCCACAGTTTTAAAAACAAATGTCACTTAAAAAAAACCCCACACCTTTAAATGAGCAGTTAGCTATAAAAGACACCCATTGGTTCAAAAGGTGAGGTCACCATCTCACAACAAGGCATGGAGCTGGTCAGGAAATGATCGTGGAAGCCATTTTTGAGGGGGTTTGTTGTCGTTTTCCCCCCAACTGAATAGGAAAGTAAATAATGAACTGTGCTCATCACAACTGATGCTTTAAGCCGGTATGTTTATGGGATGTACAGTAATTCCCTTCTTTGTTACAATCCACATTAACTTAGAAATGTGGTAGAGGAGGAGACGTCCATTAGCCGTGGGGAGGATTTCCCTAGCTCTCACTTGCAAAGGCTTATTCTGGCAGAAAACGTAGTTCCGCCTCCATACCTAGAAGGCATCTCTAGAAGGCACTGAATAACACCCAGCTGTTTCCCATCTGCAAGGACTTGTGCATTCCACTCAAGCTAATGCATTCAGACATTCAAGCCACATGGGGTGTGGGGGGGGACAGGGGTACTGTCCTTACCCCCCAACATCTCCATCCCATGTGCTCTATCCTTTTCAACAGGCCTTATAGGTGCCGGCATGCTGAAAATGCAAAGTTCCCAATCATGCAGAGGCTTATGTGTATTGAGCTGAATGCAGTTGGAAGTCCCCTGTAGACCTTCATGCTCGATGTGCAAAGTTCTCCCGTGGGGATAAGGTAGAAGCTCCAGGTAGTTCAGCATCAGGCAAGGCACACTAAGTGGTTGGCAGCAAGGATCTGCATGACCATGAATATGCAGACAATCTCACAAAGTCAACCGTCATCTTCGTAACTACGGGGGAGTATTTTCACCATATTTTCAGCCACGAATGTTTACCGCTGCCTTTCTCCCAGTGCAGCTCCATTGTCCACTAAACCTTCGTGAACTTTTATTTGAGCTGCTGTATAATTCTTTTTAAAATGATCTTCTTCATCAATGTGCACACATCTCTTCCCATGCTTTGCAGCCTCAAACGAGTCTAATTCCGGCAATCTTTTACAAGATATATAACATCAAGCTCTTGATAAAAACTCACTCCTTTTTCAGGGGTCCTTGGTTCATCCCCCTTCTGCTGGCCAGCTTTTGGTATATATTGCTTCTGGCAGTGCAATCCTAATTCTCAGTGAAGAATGGAATTGTCAACTGAGGCAACGGGGGTCACAACATCAAGGAGTGAAGACGGCTTGGCCAGCATCCTTGTCAACTGAAAGCATTTTGCATCAATGATCAGCATTAAGCCAATGGGGGGGTGGCTTTTGCTTTTAAAAAGTGTGACAAATCAAAATCAGTCTAGAGGAGAACACAAAAAAATCTAAATCTGCCATCTATTTTCCCCAAAGCAGAATTAAAAGGGCACTTTGGGGAGAACTGGGGTGTTGAAATATACTCAGAGTCAAATGTGAATTTCATGCTCTTTATTCAGCTCATAGTAGCAATGAATGAAGTTTTCCCCAAAACGTCTAGCTATATATACATTATTTACACAATGGGCCCTGCATGATTGGCTAATTCCAGGCTGCTCTTGTAGGTCAAAGAATCATAGAATCATAGAGTTGGAAGAGACCACAAGGGCCATCGAGTCCAACCCCCTGGCAAGCAAGAAACACCATCAGAGCACTCCAGACATGTGGTTGTCAAGCCTCTGCTTAAAGACCTCCAAAGAAGGAGACTCCACCATACTCCTTGGCAGCAAATTCCACTGTCAAACAGCTCTTACTGTCAGGAAGTTCTTCCTAATGATTAGGTGGAATCTTCTTTCTTGTAGTTTAGATCCATTGCTCCGTGTCCGCTTCTCTGGAGCAGCAGAAAACAACCTTTCTCCCTCCTCTATGTGACATCCTTTTATATATTTGAACATGGCTATCATATCACCCCTTAACCTCCTCTTCTCCAGGCTAAACATGCCCAGCTCCCTTAGCCGTTCCTCATAAGGCATCGTTTCCAGGCCTTTGACCATTTTGGTTGCCCTCCTCTGGACACGTTCCAGTTTGTCAGTGTCCTTCTTGAACTGTGGTGCCCAGAACTGGACCCAGTACTCCAGGTGAGGTCTGACCAGAGCAGAATACAGTGGCACTATTACTTCCCTTGATCTAGATGCTATACTCCTATTGATGCAGCCCAGAATTGCATTGGCTTTTTAGCTGCCGCATCACACTGTTGGCTCATGTCAAGTTTGTGGTCAACCAAGACTCCTAGATCCTTTTCACATGTACTGCTCTCAAGCCAGGTGTCCCCCATCTTGTATTTGTGCCTCTCATTTTTTTTGCCCAAGTGCAATACTTTACATTTCTCCCTGTTCAAATTCATCTTGTGTGTTTTGGTCCAGTTCTCTAATCTGTCAAGGTCGTTTTGAAGTGTGATCCTGTCCTCTGGGGTGTTAGCCACCCCTCCCAGTTTGGTGTCATCTGCAAATTTGATCAGGATGCCCTTGAGTCCATCATCCAAGTCGTTGATAAAGATGTTGAATAAGACCGGGCCCAAGACAGAACCCTGTGGCACCCCACTAGTCACTCTTCTCCAGGATGAAGAGGAACCATTGATGAGCACCCTTTGGGTTCGGTCAGTCAGCCAGTTACAAATCCACTGAGTGGTAGCATAGTCAAGACCGCATTTTACCAGCTTCTTTACAAGAATATCATGGGGCACCTTGTCAAATGCCTTGCTGAAATCAAGGTAGGCTACATCCACTGCGTTCCCTTCATCTACCAGGCTTGTAATTCTGTCAAAAACGAGATCAGGTTAGTCTGACATGACTTATTTTTCAGAAATCCATGCTGACTATTGGTGATCACAGCATTCCTTTCTAGGTGCTCACAGACTGTTTGCTTAATGATCTGCTCCAGAATCTTCCCTGGTATTGATGTCAGACTGACTGGGCGGTAATTATTTGGGTCCTCTCTTTTCCCCTTTTTGAAAATAGGGACAACATTTGCCCTCCTCCAGTCTGCCGGGACTTCGCCTGTTCTCCAGGAATTCTCAAAGATGACTGCCACTGGTTCTGAGATCACATCTGCCAGTTTTTTTAATACTCTTGGATGCAGTTCATCTGGCCCTGGAGACTTGAATACATCTAAATTAGCCAAGTATTCTTGTACTATCTCCTTAGTTATTCTGGGCTGTGTTTCCTCTGCTGAATCATTTGCTCCAAATTCTTCAGGTCGGGCATTGTTTTCTTTATCGGAGAAGACTGAGGCAAAGAAGGCATTGAGGAGTTCAGCCCTTTCTGTGTCCCCTGTTTGCATTTCACCATCTTCTCCTCTGAGTGACCCCACTGTTTCTTTGTTCTTCCTTTTGCTACGAACATACCCATAAAAGCCTTTTTTGTTGCTTTTAACCTCTCTAACAAGCCTGAGTTCATTCTGTGCTTTAGCTTTTCTGACTTTGTGTCTACATGTGCTGGCTATTTGTTTGAATTCCTCTTTGGTGGTTTCCCCCTTTTCCATTTTTGTACACATCCTTTTTAATCTTAACTCAGTTAAAAGTTCTTTAGATAGCCACCCTGGCTTCTTTAGGCACCTTCCATGTTTCCGTCTCATTGGTATTGCCTGACGTTGTGCTTTTAGTATCTCCCTCTTAACAAACTCCCAGCCATCATGAACTCCCTTTCCTTTTAGTATTACTGTCCATGGGATCTCACCCAGCACTTCCCTAAGTTTTATGAAGTCGGCTTTCTTAAAGTCAAGAAATTGAGTCCTAGTATGCTTGGCTGCTCCTTTCCGCTGTATAGTAAACTTCAGAAGAGCATGATCACTCGCGCCTAATGATCCTTCCACTTCTACCCCACTAACCAGGTCATCAACATTGGTTAGGACCAGATCTAAAATGGCTGTTCCTCTTGTTGCTTCTCCCACTTTCTGGACAATGAAGTTGTCTGCAAGGCCAGAGAGGAATCTGTTTGACCTTATGCTCTTGGCTGAGTTTGACATCCAACAAATATCCAGGTAATTGAAGTCCCCCATTACTACTATCTCCCTTCCTTTTGCATGCTTGGCCATCTGTTCCAGGAAGGCATCATCTATGTCCTCCGTTTGGCTTGGGGATCTATGGTAAACTCCCACAATGAGGTCACTGTTATTCTTCTCGCCCTTAATTTTGACCCAAATGCTCTCACTTTGGCTTTGAGGTTCTAAATCTTGGATCTCTTCACAGGTATACACATCCCTGACATATAACACCACTCCTCCTCCTTTCTTGTCTGGTCTGTTTCTCTGAAATAGTTTGTATCCCTCCATTATTACATTCCAATTGTGGGACTTATCCCACCAGGTTTCAGTGATGCCTATTATGTCATATTTAGTTTGCTGTACCAAGAGCTCAAGCTCATCTTGTTTATTTCCCATCTTATCATTTGTGAGATAAGATATATATAGAAATATTTCCCCTGCTTTGCGCATTAGTGTACAGACATTGAAACTCCATCAATCATTCCCCCGTGTCTCTTATTTAAGGATTTTTTCCTCCCACCACTAGGTCTGCGTGCTGTTTGCTCCATTTGGTCTATGACATTTGGATGATCAACTTCATCAATTGATAGACTCCTACCTTCAGCAGCACTGTCTCCCTCCCCCACATTAGTCAGTTTAAAGCCCTCCTGATGAGGTTTCTGAGATATTTGGCAAAAACATTCCTCCCAACCGTTGTGAGGTGCAGCCCATCACTTGCCAGAAGTCCATCTTCAAGAAACTGCAGTCCGTGATCTAAGCATCCAAACTGTTCCTGTTTACACCATTTGCGAAGCCAGCTGTTCACTTCCACTGTTTTTCCCTCTCTCCCTGGGCCACGTCGTTCAACTGGGAGGACAGATGAGATGACAATTTGTGCATTTAATTGCTTCAATTTCCTGCCCAGAGCCTCGTAGTCTCTTTTGATCTTCTGGAGGCTATTGCTTGCAGTGTCATTGGTTCCCACATGAATCAAGAGGAAGGGGTATTTGTCAGTGGGTTTTATGATTCCTTGCAGTCGTTCAGTTACATCTTGGATCTTAGCCCCGGGGACAGCACACTTCCCGAGACATCTTGTCAGGCCCACAGATCACTGCTTCTGTTCCCCTCAGTAGGGAATCCCCTATCACCACTACATGCCTCCTCTTAGGTTTGGTTGGGGTTCTTCCGTGAGCTGTCCGTTCCAAGGTCGCCTGCACATTCCCTGAGGACTGACTTTGCTGCTCGTCTTCATATACCTGATCGACTGTAATGAGGGAGAGATCCTCAAATGGAGTCTGTTCTTCATCTTCCATGCTAGGGCAGAGGACCTCAAAGCAATTGTGTATTTCTAAACAATCAGAGCGAACCCTGGGCCTCCTACTTCTTTGAGTCACGTTTCTCCATATATCTGGCTCCTGTGTTGGTGAACTAGCCTCCTTCCCAGGGGAGTCCCCTGTCTCCTCCTTGGTGGAGACGGTGTGCTCTGTTGCTTCCAAGAAGAGCTCCAGCTCTCTAATTCTTTGGAGTGTAGCTACACGTTCCTCCAGTTGTTGGACTTTGTCTTTTAAGAGGGCAATCAACATGCAATTGCTGCAGGCAAACTGCCTGCAACCTTTGGCAAGATGGCAAACATTGCGCAGGAACCACAGGCGACTGCAGCTGTTCCCTCCCCCTCCATCTTGAGAACGTGTCGTTGTGGGTGGCTACAGCGGTCCTCCATCAAAAAAAGCGTGAAGACAGGACAAATAACTCCCCCCACAAAAAAACCCAAGTCTCCCCCAACAAACGTTTGAGACTAGCTCCCCTAAATCTAAAAGATGGATCAAACTGCACAGGGAGAGCAGTTAATCAGCCACAAAGAAACACACACACACACAAGAAAACCCTTTTTGCTCCTTCTTCAACTGCTGCCCTGCAAGGTCAATCACTTCCACCTGAAGCTGGTTTGGGTGGCTCCTGCGGACCAATCAGACTGCTGCATTCTGGATCCTATTGTTCTAAGATCCATCACAGTACATAACAGGTTTGTATGTTTGTCTTGTACCTGTTAGACCCCAACACCTACCTACTTGTAAAAGATGTTAAAAACTGGCAAAGCAGGGAATTGTTTTGAGGATCGCAAAATGTTCACAAAACATCCACCAAGTTAGTTCAGTAGCATTAAAGAGAAAGCTCTCTATTCTGCCATTCTAAATTTCCCCTCACTATTAATGAACTAAAGCTTTACTTGATTGATGTATCATTTAAATGGATTCATGCTCACAGCCCTGGTTTTTATGGTTGGAATAGTTGTGATATTTTATTGTTTGTTATATGATGGTTTTATGATGTTTTATCCTTGTTTTGTTATATGGTAGTTTATGGTACTCACAGTGTTTGTAAAGCTTCTTTGAATTCGTGGACAAAGACGGTAATATGGAGAGCAAGCATCATGGGATACAACATTTATAGAGTGGTACCTCTGGTTATGGATTTAATTCATTTTGGGGTGCCATGCGTAACTAGAAGTGCCGCTTCTGCACACACATGGGGCGCACAGAGCGCTTCTGCTCATGCGCAAGCAGCGAAACCCGGAAGTATACATTTCCAGGTTTGCCATGGCCATAACCTGAAGATTCCATAACCTGGAGGTTATGCAACACAAGGTACCATTTTATTGCATTCAAATCTAAATGGGCCACATGAATGTCCCACAAAAAAGCAACTTTTGTATTTCTTCTTACATGGTATGCAAATTCAAATTTAGGGTGTTGCTCTGCTTTGAAAATTTTAGCTTCCTTCCCCAACTCAACAAACCACTACTTGTTTGTTCTCTTGGAGGTAGGGAAGTAACCGAGTCAGTTTTCTACATGGTCAGCACTTCTTTCTTCCATTTAACTATAGTGGGGGGGGGGGAGTCTTCCAGGTACTTCAAGTAATTGCGGTCTGAAATTGAACAATCTGCCCAGTTCCACATTCACCTGTCGATAAAACTCTTCTGAATTTAGAACAGCGGCCATTGATTTCACTGTCCTTTGACTTGACCACATCAACCAAAATGACGCTTTGGGGATGTAGGAAAAGTAGTAGCCAGAGGTTAACTTTATTCATCTAGCACCATCACTAAGGGAAAAAGAACATGAAAAAAGCCAAAACAAAGAATTGATCAAATGGAGGAAGGACACATGAAATGAAATCTACCAAGCAGCTCAGAGAAAAATTGCCTTCCTAGGAAAAAAGAGATAATGAGAAATTTTAGCTCAATTGTCTGTAGATACAAATGCATAGTTTGATCCTACAGTATGAGATGAAGGTCTGAGTTCCTTGAAAATGGGAGATTTGAATGTGCCTCATAATTTAAAAGTAGTGAATACTTAATGGGCCATGTTGCAAAACAGAACAGTTTAACTGTGGCTACATCTAACAGAACTATTAAAAGTATACGAAGCAAAAGGACCATGTTGGCCCACAAGACAAATTCCAAAATCCACATTAGAGCTGTACCTCAGGTTCCCAGAAAACCAGGCCTGACCAGAAGTCTCCAGCTTTGCCTACCCTCCCCCTGGTGGCAAGGGGAGGGTCCCAGTCTCCAGGGGGAGGGGGGAGAGTGCCTGTAAAATAGATATTATTATTAAGAGGACTGTGCAAGCAGCTTGCAAGCTTCAGCCTGGCATGAGCCATCTTCACATTATTGCAAAGACCAGTGATGGCCCTAAGTGATCTGACCTCCACTCTCCTCCCATCTCCCAATTAACTCCTGTCTCCAGGGCTCAGTGGGAGGAGGGAGGCTTCAAGCCCACTGGAATGGCCCTAATACAAAGAACATGAGAACAAAGGCAAAAGGGAAGCCAGAAGATGGGGCTGCTGAGCAAACACAGGAGGGGAGGAAGCAAGGTGATAATAAGCAAGGAAGCCCAGAGTAGGGAATGAGAGAGGAATTCAGTGTCAAGAGATTTAGAATTCAATTTAATTATTCTCCAAATGAATTTTAGGACCACAGTAGGCAGCAGGAATTTAATCTAGGATCAGAACCACAACCCCAACTTTGATTGTGGGTTTTATTAATTACAAAGAAAAAAAAAATCTTGGAGCAGCCAGCATAAAACAATACTGTCATGAGTCCATTCCCAAGCTTGATAACGAAGCAAGCATAGTTAATTAAAAACGATGATTTGTTGTCAAAACAACAGATAGTTCCGGAGGGCTCTCACACAGCCTCCCGGCATCATCAATCACAATGACCCTTCTGAAGACTGCTTCCGGCGTGATCAGAAGCAACGGAACTTTCACTTCCTATCTTGCAGCCCTCCCATTCGCTGTGACCTTGGACTGAGTGGGTCAGCTCCCGCCTCTTCTCTATTCTCTGAGAGGCTTTCTCTTAACTCTTTCCCACCTGTTTGTGCTTCCTGCGAGCTTTGAGTGTGTTCTAGCCTGCTCCCAGCCATTCCTTTATCAACTGGCATTCCAGGGGGCGGGGGCGCCTCTCCCAGCCCTGTCAGGGAAAGTCCAGTAACCCTCCAGCCTCTCCTGAACTGCAGAGGCTCAGGGCAGAGAGGCGGAGGGAACTGGTTTCTCCCAGGAGGAGTGCTCGCCTTAAGGCCAGGAGAGGCGGGTCACCTGGGGGCCGGGACCGCCCCTGGCCTCAGAGAAGATAAAGGCCAGTCAGCCCGGTCCCAGGTTGCGGGAGCAACGACATTGGAAACCTGTTTCTGCCAGCACCCAGACCTGTCTTTCCGGAGTTGCCGACCATGCCTGGCTTTTGCTTTGAACCCAGCTTCCCCCTTGGTGGACAGTCTCCAGACAATCGACCTAGGACCAGACTTTGACCACGCTTCACGGTAACACCCCCCCCCCGTACCAGCACACAAATAATGAAGGAAGCTGAGAGACAGAGTGGTGGTGGTGGAATCCTGATGCTAACAATGTGTCCATATTCTTGCATCAAAATCACATGAAAGCGAGGAAGGCATAATAAAACAGCCTCACATAGTGCTAGATAAAATTAATGTCCTATCAAGGCAATGTGGAAACACAAACTGGGGAAGCAAAACATGATTTTCCATATCTGTATTTTGCAATGTGCAAAGAGATTGGCGGTGTTGGCCACATTCAATTGTGTCAACGGGCAAGCGGAAGAGTCTCGGGCTGCTTTTACTGAATTGTCCTCATGGGTGTCAAGAAATGTAGAAAGGTTCAGCAAAGGAAATGTAGAATCATAGAGTTGGAAGAGACCACAAGGGCCATCGAGTCCAACCCCCTGCCAAGCAGGAAACACCATCAGAGCACTCCTGACATATGGTTGTCAAGCCTCTGCTTAAAGACCTCCAAAGAAGGAGACTCCACCACACTCCTTGGCAGCAAATTCCACTGTCGAACAGCTCTTGCTGTCAGGAAGTTCTTCCTAATGTTTAGGTGGAATCTTCTTTCTTGTAGTTTGGATCCATTGCTCCGTGTCCGCTTCTCTGGAGCAGCAGAAAACAACCTTTCTCCCTCCTCTATGTGACATCCTTTTATATATTTGAACATGGCTATCATATCACCCCTTAACCTCCTCTTCTCCAGGCTAAACATGCCCAGCTCCCTTAGCCGTGCCTCATAAGGCATCGTTTCCAGGCCTTTGACCATTTTGGTTGCCCTCCTCTGCACACGTTCCAGTTTGTCAGTGTCCTTCTTGAACTGTGGTGCCCAGAACTGGACCCAGTACTCCAGGTGAGGTCTGACCAGAGCAGAATACAGTGGCACTATTACTTCCCTTGATCTAGATGCTATACTCCTATTGATGCAGCCCAGAATTGCATTGGCTTTTTAGCTGCTGCGTCACACTGTTGGCTCATGTCAAGTTTGTGGTCAACCAAGACTCCTAGATCCTTTTCACATGTACTGCTCTCAAGCCAGGTGTCACCCATCTTGTATTTGTGCCTCTCATTTTTTTTGCCCAAGTGCAATACTTTATATTTCTCCCTGTTCAAATTCATCTTGTTTGTTTTGGCCCAGTTCTCCAATCTGTCAAGGTCGTTTTGAAGTGTGATCCTGTCCTCTGGGGTGTTAGCCACCCCTCCCAGTTTGGTGTCATCTGCAAATTTGATCAGGATGCCCTTGAGTCCATCATCCAAGTCGTTGATAAAGATGTTGAATAAGACCGGGCCCAAGACAGAACCCTGTGGCACCCCACTAGTCACTCTTCTCCAGGATGAAGAGGAACCATTGATGAGCACCCTTTGGGTTCGGTCAGTCAGCCAGTTACAAATCCACTGAGTGGTAGCATAGTCAAGACCGCATTTTACCAGCTTCTTTACAAGAATATCATGGGGCACCTTGTCAAATGCCTTGCTGAAATCAAGGTAGGCTACATCCACTGCGTTCCCTTCATCTACCAGGCTTGTAATTCTGTCAAAAACGAGATCAGGTTAGTCTGACATGACTTATTTTTCAGAAATCCATGCTGACTATTGGTGATCACAGCATTCCTTTCTAGGTGCTCACAAACTGTTTGCTTAATGATCTGCTCCGGAATCTTCCCTGGTATTGATGTCAGACTGACTGGGCGGTAATTATTTGGGTCCTCTCTTTTCCCCTTTTTGAAAATAGGGACAACATTTGCCCTCCTCCAGTCTGCCGGGACTTCGCCTGTTCTCCAGGAATTCTCAAAGATGACTGCCACTGGTTCTGAGATCACATCTGCCAGTTCTTTTAATACTCTTGGATGCAGTTCATCTTGCCCTGGAGACTTGAATACATCTAAATTAGCCAAGTATTCTTGTACTATCTCCTTAGTTATTCTGGGCTGTGTTTCCTCTGCTGAATCATTTGCTCCAAATTCTTCAGGTCGGGCACTGTTTTCTTTATCGGAGAAGACTGAGGCAAAGAAGGCATTGAGGAGTTCAGCCCTTTCTGTGTCCCCTGTTTGCATTTCACCATCTTCTCCTCTGAGTGACCCCACTGTTTCTTTGTTCTCCCTTTTGCTACGAACATACCCATAAAAGCCTTTTTTGTTGCTTTTAACCTCTCTAACAAGCCTGAGTTCATTCTGTGCTTTAGCTTTTCTGACTTTGTGTCTACATGTGCTGGCTATTTGTTTGAATTCCTCTTTGGTGGTTTCCCCCCTTTTCCATTTTTTGTACACATCCTTTTTAATCTTAACTCAGTTAAAAGTTCTTTAGATAGCCACCCTGGCTTCTTTAGGCACCTTCCATGTTTCCGTCTCATTGGTATTGCCTGACGTTGTGCTTTTACTATCTCCCTCTTAACAAACTCCCAGCCATCATGAACTCCCTTTCCTTTTAGTATTACTGTCCATGGGATCTCACCCAGCACTTCCCTAAGTTTTATGAAGTCGGCTTTCTTAAAGTCAAGAAATTGAGTCCTAGTATGCTTGGCTGCTCCTTTCCGCTGTATAGTAAACTTCAGAAGAGCATGATCACTCGCGCCTAATGATCCTTCCACTTCTACCCCACTAACCAGGTCATCAACATTGGTTAGGACCAGATCTAAAATGGCTGTTCCTCTTGTTGCTTCTCCCACTTTCTGGACAATGAAGTTGTCTGCAAGGCCAGAGAGGAATCTGTTTGACCTTATGCTCTTGGCTGAGTTTGACATCCAACAAATATCCAGGTAATTGAAGTCCCCCATTACTACTATCTCCCTTCCTTTTGCATGCTTGGCCATCTGTTCCAGGAAGGCATCATCTATGTCCTCCGTTTGGCTTGGGGATCTATGGTAAACTCCCACAATGAGGTCACTGTTATTCTTCTCTCCCTTAATTTTGACCCAAATGCTCTCACTTTGGCTTTGAGGTTCTAAATCTTGGATCTCTTCACAGGTATACACATCCCTGGCATATAACACCACTCCTCCTCCTTTCTTGTCTGGTCTGTTTCTCTGAAATAGATTGTATCACTCCATTATTACATTCCAATTGTGGGACTTATCCCACCAGGTTTCAGTGATGCCTATTATGTCATATTTAGTTTGCTGTACCAAGAGCTCAAGCTCATCTTGTTTATTTCCCATCTTATCTTTTGTGAGATAAGAAATATATAGAAATATTTCCCCTGCTTTGCACATTAGTGTACAGACATTGAAACTCCATTAATCATTCCCCCGTGTCTCTTATTTAAGGATTTTTTCCTCCCACCACTAGGTCTGCGTGCTGTTTGCTCCATTTGGTCTATGACATTTGGATGATCAACTTCATCACTTGATAGACTCCTACCTTCAGCAGCACTGTCTCCCTCCCCCACATTAGTCAGTTTAAAGCCCTCCTGATGAGGTTTCTGAGATATTTGGCAAAAACATTCCTCCCAACCGTTGTGAGGTGCAGCCCATCACTTGCCAGAAGTCCATCTTCAAGAAACTGCAGTCCGTGATCTAAGCATCCAAACTGTTCCTGTTCACACCATTTGCGAAGCCAGCTGTTCACTTCCACTATTTTTCCCTCTCTCCCTGGGCCTCGTCGTTCAACTGGGAGGACAGATGAGATGACAATTTGTGCATTTAATTGCTTCAATTTCCTGCCCAGAGCCTCGTAGTCTCTTTTGATCTTCTGGAGGCTATTGCTTGCAGTGTCATTGGTTCCCACATGAATCAAGAGGAAGGGGTATTTGTCAGTGGGTTTTATGATTCCTTGCAGTCGTTCAGTTACATCTTGGATCTTAGCCCCGGGGGGACAGCACACTTCCCGAGACATCTTGTCAGGCCCACAGATCACTGCTTCTGTTCCCCTCAGTAGGGAATCCCCTATCACCACTACATGCCTCCTCTTAGGTTTGGTTGGGGTTCTTCCGTGAGCTGTCCGTTCCAAGGTCGCCTGCACATTCCCTGAGGACTGACTTTGCTGCTCGTCTTCATATACCTGATCGACTGTAATGAGGGAGAGATCCTCAAATGGAGTCTGTTCTTCGTCTTCCATGCTAGGGGAGGACCTCAAAGCAATTGTGTATTTCTAAACAATCAGAGCGAACCCTGGGCCTCCTACTTCTTTGAGTCACGTTTCTCCATATATCTGGCTCCTGTGTTGGTGAACTAGCCTCCTTCTCAGGGGAGTCCCCTGTCTCCTCCTTGGTGGAGACGGTGTGCTCTGTTGCTTCCAAGAAGAGCTCCAGCTCTCTAATTCTTTGGAGTGTAGCTACACGTTCCTCCAGTTGTTGGACTTTGTCTTTTAAGAGGGCAATCAACATGCAATTGCTGCAGGTAAAGCTGCCTGCAACCTTTGGCAAGATGGCAAACATTGCGCAGGAACCGCAGGCGACTGCAGCTGTTCCCTCCCCCCTCCATCTTGAGAACGTGTCGTTGAGGGTGGCTACAGTGGTCCTCCATCATAAAAAGCGTGAAGACAGGACAAATAACTCCCCCCCCCAAAAAAACCTAGGTCTCCCCCAACAAACGTTTGAGACTAGCTCCCCTAAATCTAAAAGATGGATCAAACTGCTGCCCTGCAAGCTCTGATAAGCTCCTCCCACAGCTAATCACCTGCCTCAACAGAAACCCTGCCCCCTCCGACCTTTGCACAGGGAGAGCAGCTAATCAGCAACAAAGAAACACACACACAAGAAGACCCTTTTTGCTCCTTCTTCAGCTGCACAAACTCTAGTAAAGCAGCACAAACTCGAATAAAGAGCAGGCAGGTGCCTGAGAATCAAACCAAGAAAAGCTGGAAAAGGGAGAAGCACCCAGTTCTGAACTTTAAAGATTCATGTTGCTATTAAGTGAGTAATCACTCTCAGGGCCATGTTAGGGTGTGCTTGGAGGGAGAGTACATCACAGTTTTTACACTGTTCAGAATGTTGTTATTTGTGCTTTTCTGTGCTCAGAATGTTGTTAATAGTTACCCACTGAATTATTTCATGTGAACAAATGGAGAAAGCGTAAAAATAAAAATAAGTCAAATCTTGAATGTAAGCTCCTTTGGTCAAGACTGGAGCCAACAGTGGTGATTTTTTGAGAAAGATGAATGCAGACATTCATTAACTAAGTATCCATTCAGAGGATCAGACTACCTTGGGATCAACTCTATCACTTCTTCAGGTTCACTTAGTCATCTGTTGTCAGATGTGGAGATTCCTCCCTTCGGTAACCTCACAGACAAGAATTAATGAGCAGTTAATAGATTTGTAGTCCTTTTATTACAGCATCATGTTGCAAGCACAAATACACAGCTCTCCACAAGGAGGGAAGTTGGCTAGTCTAACCCTCCTCCCTCCCTCCTTCTGCCGCATTTTGGGCGCCAACGGGAAGTTCCTCCCTCCCTCTGACTCCTTTGCTCCGAGCTTGGGGGGGGGGGGTCTGCCACGCTCTCAAGTGATGTCTCAGCTAGCTGCCCCCTCCCTTCTTGTTCTATTGCCATTATCTCATAACTGGTTAACTACTTCCTAAGTTGTTCAGCCTCTCTCTCTCTCTCTCCTTCTGAACATGCTGTGGAGAATGGAGGTGACTCTTCCCCCTCCAGCTCTCCATCAGAGAGAAGCTGGTCTGCCATAGAATGCATTCCCCAGTCCTCATCTTCTGACCATTCCCTGACATCTGTGTCATCCTGCAAAGTAGTAAGAACTGTGCCAACATCAGGTGCAGATGTGTACTAGAATGTGCAGCAA